CGGCCAACGATGGCCAAGGGATGAGTTGGCTGGGCCGAGATGAGCAATCGTAAAATGCGAAATTTTATGTCCTTACCAAGCCTAACTGTTGCTTGCCTGCTTTTTTCCCGGACAGCTGCCATAAATCCTGACTCGAGCTTTTTAATGCCAACCTTTTGTGTTGTTTTTCACCTCATTTGCCATTAATCTGGCGAAACTAAAAGTGAGATAACGAAACTCAGATGGACTAGCTAACGAGGTTTTCTTCGCTTATAGCGAAAGCTCGTGAGGTATATTCTGCATATTGTTAAAGTTATGAATAAATATAAAATATTTTAGCAGTTTAAAGTATCTTAATAAAATTGTAAACAAAAAAATTCATATGTGGATATTCACTACTAGAATTCATGTAGCCAAAACAACAATATTTTGGGCTGTAGAAAACAATTACATTTTTGGTTAAGTTTCTTGATGTGCGAAATGTTTATTTATTTATTCGCCAACCACTATTTAATTTCGCAACTTACAACTTAATAGCATGGTTGGTAATGGGAATTATTAAAAATTTGTTAAACTAATACAAATTTTAAAATGTTTTTAGAAAAGTTTTTTTTTTTTTAGTAAAATTCATGTATTTTTCTATAGCCTACTTAACTATTTTTGGTATGGCCCAAAAATGCTGGAAAATATTTGGTTAATTTACTTTAAGTGTGAAAATTTATAAAGCATTTTGCAAATGAGCAGCAGAAGCTAATTTTTTTTATACCCTTGCAGAGGGTATTATAATTTCAGTCAGAAGTTTGCAACGCAGTGAAGGAGACGTTTCCGACCCTATAAAGTATATATATTCTTGATCAGCATCACTAGTAGAGTCGATCTAGCCATGTCCGTCTGTCCGTCCGTCTGTCCGTCTGTCCGTCTGTCCGTCCGTCTGTCCGTCTGTCCGTCCGTTTATATGCAAACTAGTCTCTCAGTTTTAAAGCTATCTGCATGAAACTTTCCCAAAAGTTGTCTTTCTATTGCAGGTAGTATATAAGTCGGAACGAGCCGGATCGGACGACTATAGCATATAGCTCCCATAGGAACAATCGGAAAAATGATTGAAAAAAATTATAACTTTGCTGTTTTTTAATTTTTTGTTTAGTTCTTCGACATATAGCAATGGTTAAATAATTCAGAATTATGGTTTAAATTTCATCAAAATCGGACGACTATAGCATATAGCTCCCATAGGAACAATCGGAAAAATAATTGAAAAAAAATTATAACTTTGCTGTTTTTTAATTTTTTGTTTAGTTCTTCGACATAAAGCAATGGTTAAATATTTCAGAATTATGGTTAAAATTTCTTTAAAATCGGACGACTATAGCATACAGCTCCCATAGGAACAATCGGAAAAATAATTGAAAAAAAAATATAACTTTGCTGTTTTTTAATTTTTTGTTTAGTTCTTCGACATATAGCAATGGTTAAATATTTCAGAATTATGGTTAAAATTTCATCAAAATCGGACGACTATAGCATATAGCTCCCATAGGAACAATCGGAAAAATAATTGAAAAAAATTATAACTTTGCTGTTTTTTAATTTTTTTTTTAGTTCTTCGACATATAGCAATGGTTAAATATTTCAGAGTTATGGTTTAAATTTCATCAAAATCAGACGACTATATCATATAGCTCCCATACAAATAATAAAAATATATAAAAGAACAATCAAATAATTATGCTGCAAATCGTCATAGCTTCAATGTTTTTAAACATATACGCAAGTAAATCATAATTTTAATGTTTTCAAAAATATTTAATTCTTGCGATAGCTGCAAGGGTATATGAACTTCGGCTTGCCGAAGTTTGCTTTCTTTCTTGTTTCAAATAAAATAAATATCTAACAGCTCATTTATATATATTATATTTAGTTGAGGATCTGAGTTCATTACCTCATTTACCACTCCCGTTTACTAACTCCAAAACCCGTGATCTTCTTTCTGTTGTTGTGTACCAATTTTAATGTGGCCTAGGCACGTTTTATTTGTTTAAAGAACTATTAAAATGGCATAAACAGAACTGGAATGGCGATGGCAATCGCACTGGTGGTCTGTTCTACGTTGGACTGGCTAACTGGCAGTGCCAAAGTTTTATCATGCTGTGGAGGGATAGGGAGAGGGGGAGGGGGGTTTTGGAGGGGCCAGCTGGTGCTGCCTTTTGAGCGCATTGTTGTTGGTCGTATTTGATTATCGCATTTCATTTTGTGTCGGGTGAATGTAGAAAGTTGAATGCAAATTTGCATGACACCAACAGAAGCGGCCAGTGGGTGGACGACGACGACGATGATGATGACGATGATGATCAGCAATGGGGGAGCAAAAGAATACGGCAACAATCACACCAAGCATCAACATAATAATAACAAAGCAGCCAGAGCAACACTGGGGTTCTTTTTCCTCCATTGTGCCGCTGAGCAGAATGGGAGGATGGGCTGTCAAAGTTTTTAGGTATCATTTCAGTTTATTTGAATTATTCATAATCCGGACGGCAGCCTAAGAAACAAACAGCAACTCAGACAAGGCCGGGCCAGCAGAAAAAGCAGAAAAACTGGAAAAGCTGGCCAAAGATAACGGAAGCAGCAAATAAAAATCATTCATTGTAAACAGTTTCCCCTCGCTGCAAAGTTTTTTGGCAAACAAAAGGGAAACGAAGCCGCAGCTCAAATTCAATTCAATCAACAGAGGAATATGGAAATCCCGCAGCAAAGACCACAAACAAATTCGCACCATATTTCGGTGCAAACTGTAAATTGAGTGAATCATAAAATATTTAATTTTGAAAGAACTGACTTTTTCGGCTTTACCTGTTGGGTACTCAAAACTCTGCGAGTCTTTTGTCCATAAAAAGCCTTTTCTGGGCTCCCCTTCAAGTGCGCCCATGCAACACGCAAATGCCTAATAGTCAAAGTTTACTTTCCACGCTCTCTGTTTATTGTTCCTGCCACAAGAGTTTCGCCTTACTTTCTATAGCTATCGAACTCTTGTTTGACTCATACTTAAATGTGCCATAAATTGAGCACTTCCCTGGGATTTACGGGTACTGGGACGGACGGACAGGTGAGAGGTGGCCTCCACTCGTCTCACGACAGTTTACGACAGTCACGCGATAGCCTGCTTGCGATATAAATAGAAAGGCAGTGTGCCCGAAATGTTAGTTAAAATTGAATGTTGGTTAGAAAAGCATCACAGTCAATCACTCAGTCATACGGACAAGATAAACACCAGATGCACATGGAATAAAATTATATAACAACAATTTTGGAAAACTATTGGGTATTTCGAATTAATCAGTTTCCTAAGACATTATTTAAATAGTTTAGTATTATAAATGAATATATCTTAAGCAACTGCCAATATCTTCGTATTTCGTCCTTATTTTTGCCAAAAGTCTTAATCCCCATTTCCACACAATGCAATTGAAGGACCAAAAACAAAATGTCAAATATCAAATACAATTTGTCATTCAAACCTAAATGAATTTAATTTTTGAGCTTTTATAAAATATGCGAAAATAGACAATAAATATATTTTTTGAAATCAGCCAGAAAGTGATGCGAATCGATTGCAATTTTCTTCAGCAATGTTTTATTTTTGTCAAGATTGACCTCAATTCTAGCTAAAGAAAGAAAAAATTGTCCCAATTGCTCACAAAAGTTTAAAGACAACTGGATGGGCCTTAAATGATTGTCAAGTTCAAAGGGAACCTAACTTTTTTTCTGAGTGCGTGGGCAGATGGGTGGCAAATAAATAGGTGTGGGAGCAGCAAGAAATTAGCACAAACTATGCCGCAAGAAAAGTTAGTTGCGAAGCCTAATAAGCGGCGCCCATGGAAAACTCTGCGCCCCTCAGCCATCATACGCCCTGTTGGCCGACGATTTGCCAACGTTTTCACTTTCACTTTCACATTTGCGTGCTGCTGCTGACGTCGCTGCTCGCTGTCGGCGTCGCTGTCGACGTCACTGTCGTCGCATTGCGAATTCCTGGCAGCAGCGGGCAAAGTTTTAGCATACTTTTCGGCAGCGGCGACAGTATTTTTTGTGCACTTGACATGTTTTGACACGCTCCACGCTCGTCGCTCCCTCCAATCCTTGGCTTGGCTAAAAAGGGAGCTAAGGGGCCAAGACGCCAAGAGGCCGGGCCACCTGACCGGAATGTTCGCCGCGCCGCTGGAGTTTGATGTTGTTTTGCGCGCCAAAAATGCTAACGATAATCTGGTGAGCCACCATACCAGACCTGGCAACTCACCACGTTGCCCAGGACGACCAACCAGGTTACCAACTAGCAGGACCTCCTCACCATGGACACTTGCACTTTCCAGGCGACGCTTTCCATTTGTTTACCTTTGCTGGTGTTGCTTTAGTTACTGGCCAACAGCGGTCCACAAAAGGTGGTTTTTTTTCTTTCTGTTCCGCATGATTAACGCAGAAATATGTTTAAATATTAATTGGCCGGCTGCCGTGTTTTGCCATTCTCTGTTGCATTTATTGTCCAGCCGGAGGTGTGATGCGTTTGGAAAAAGTAATTGCTTTCGCCCCGCCAATCATCCATTCGACACATGCACAGAAAAAACGGGGCCGGCTGACATCCAATCGACCAACCACCACCAGCAGCAACATCAACTTGTCCGGTTAAATAAGCAACAACAAAAACAACAACAGCACTACACACGATATATACACGATATACGATATATATTTCCTACCACCAAAACTATTTGCTGGCAATTAAACCGGCGACGGGGAGCGCGAAAATTACGCGATCCATCAAACGCTGCCCGGCGGCAGTGGGCGGGTATGTGGCGCACATTGATGCAATATGCAGATGGCGTTTTAATTAGTTTATTAATCGGCTGCGGCCTCATCTCAGCAGGTGCAATCGCCAACGCCTGGCCATAATTTTCCGGCGGGCGAAGTAATTAATTTCTGATCCCCTACACGCCACTATGACTATACCCATTTTCCTATATTTTTTGCAGCCCCAATTGCTGCGGCAACGGGACCGGAGCCATCGTAACGCGCTGCACTACTGTGCCGCGCAGGACGTGGAGCAGAGCAAGGACCTCGTGGCGGCCGCCAGCATCGCGATCGCAGCCCCCGAGCTGCTGGAGTCGGCGGACGAGGATGGCTTCACCCCGCTCCACCTGGCCGTCATCCAGGGCAACCTGGCCATGGTCAACCTGCTGCTGGCCAACAAGGCGGACGTGAATGCGGTGGACAACGAAGGCCACTCGGTGGTGCACTGGGCCACTGGTATGTGCCACCCCGCCTTTTATTTTATTTTTTTTTAAATAATTGATATAATAGTCCATTTTCTGTATTTGCCTAACAGAAAGGCACGATTAACTTAGATAATATTTGCTTTAAACTGAGTGAATAAAGTGAAAACAACATTAATTAATTCGACTGTTTATTTAAGGGCGCCATTATTTTCTAGTCTTTGTCAGAAAAAAGCTTAATTTTAATTAATTAAAGTGATAAACTTAATGTCATTACTGCTTGTTGAAATCAGCTTTTAAACTTGTACAAGAACTGTGTTTTAGAATAGCTTAATAATGTCATTAAGTTTTGGTCAATTTTAATTTGTATTGTGTTAAAAAGTTTACCACGCAGTGAAGTATATACATTTATATGATGCAAGGGCAAATTTGCTTATTTTATTGTTTTTTTATATAAAAAACTTTGCATTAGCATAGCTTAAAAATGTCATTATTATTTGGTTAATTTTAGTTTATATATCCCTACACAAGATATTATGATTTTAGCAAAAAGTTTGCAGCGCAGTTTGGAGACATTGAATTGAATTGAAAGATTACAAAGTTCATAATGGCATTTGTTTTTACATATTCCGATTAAAATCGAAATTTCTTCTTCACTTGATTTTTACATATTTTTTTTTAAAATTATAGTATGCGGTGAAGTGGAGTCCTTGCGAGCGGTCCTGGCCGCAGGAGCCAGTGTGGCCAAGCCGGACGCCAACGGAGGCACTCCGCTGCACTATGCCGCCCAGATGTGCGGCGCCAGTCACGACAGCAAGCAGCAGGCCAGTTCCAGTCACAGTTCGCGGCTCTCCTTGGAGATCCTGGGAATCCTGCTGTCCCATCCCCAGAGCAGTGTCGATGTGCAGGACAAGGACGGGCGGCAGCCGCTGCTGTGGGCCGCCTCTGCGGGATCGGCCAAGGCAGTGATGGCCTTGGTCAAGGCGGGTGCCAGGGTGGAGTCGTCAGATAAGTGGGTTCACTGCCTTATCTTTTTAACCATAACTATATCTTACGATCCTTGCAGAGATGGCCTCACAGCCTTGCATTGTGCTGGTTCCAGAGGGCACACCGAGTGCATTGACACCCTAATAGGCCTCTGTGGTGCCCCCACGGACCTAATCGACTCCAATGGCTGCACTGCTCTGCATTACGCCGTAACCTTGGGTCATGCCGATGCCACAGCCAGATTGCTGGACCTAGAGGCCGATCCCAATCGCCAGGATCGCAAAGGACGCACTCCAGCCCACTGCGGTTGTTCCAAGGGTCAGTTCGAGACCTTAAAGCTGCTCAAGGAGCGCGGAGCGAATCTCTGGCTGCGCAATGCCAAGGGTGATCTGCCGCTCCACGAGGCCGCAGCCTCTGGGCGAAGGGAGCTTCTGGAGTGGCTGCTCAATCAGAGGCCCAAGCAGGTGAACACCACCAGCAACGATGGACGCAGTCTGCTGCACTTGGCGGCGGCCAATGATTACACGGACATGTGCAAGCTGCTGCTGGACTATGGCGCTGATGTGAATGCCGTGTATCGGAACTCGAGGGGCCTGGTCCTGACCCCACTGGACGGAGCCCTGCAGCGTGGTCACCGCTCGACGGCGAAGTTTCTTCAGGCCAACGGTGGTCAGCCGGCCAACAAGGTGCGATTGTCGAGCAGACGCTCGGGCAATCCCTTTCACGAAGCCAATGCCGCCGATTTGGTGAGACCCCTGAAATATGTGGAGAAGGAGGAAGTGCACGATCTGCGCAGCTCCAAGAAGTATGTGGTGTACCTAAAGCGCTCCGATGCGGATAATGGAAATGGGAATGGGAATGGAAATGGCAAGGAGGAGGAGGATCCCGATTGCAGCTGCTCGGAGCAGACTTATCGCAAGGAGCAGCGCATGAAGCACGTCTGTCGGCGCCACAACAGGAGGCAACTTCGCAGACGCACCAGCAGTTGTGGCGAGTCCAAGCATGAGCGCTGCGGCGAGATTTGCCGCTCCAAAAGTAACATCGAGATCAGGCGGCGCAAGTCCCGTGAGCGGTACGCCAGTTCCAGCGAGTGGGAGGAGGAGGCGGAGGACGAGGAGGACTCCTGCGAGAATTGCTGCTACCACAAGCGGCAAAAGGATCGGGTGGTTTCCCGCAAACGATCCACCTCCTCCAGGAAGTCAAAAAACCGAGAGGACAGCGAGGTGGAAGAGGGTAATCACACGGCCCACTCTTCGCCGGAGAAGAACTCGCGAAAGCCGCTGACAGTGAATGGGGAGCAAAAAGCTGGTCCTGCCCAGGAGCCAACCACTGCCAGGGAGCAACCTTCATCCGCCAGCAGGCATAAGGAGGGCACCTTCATTAAGTCACCCAACCAAAGCGAGAAGTCCGCCCAAATGGACAGCCTGCTGGTGGAAGAGTCCCATGCCGTTGAGCTAACCGACGAGGAACAGGAGGCGGCCAAGTCGGTGGTGACTCAGGTGGATGTCCATCACGATGCCGAGGAGCAGCAGACATCCAGATCTTCTGAGGAGGTGCCACTTGTTAATAAAAATGAAAACAACAATGGGGAAAAGCAGCCAGACCAGGAGGCCAAACTACAGCTGAGCGAGGAGGAAACCCAGTTGGTGTCCAAGGAGGTGGAGCAGGTGATCAAGATAGCAGCCACTGCATTGAGCAGCGAGTCGAAGAGTTCCAGTGAGGAAAGGCCCAAGGATGGTGAGCAGGAGCCTGTGGCGAAAATCGAAGAGGATGTGATGGAGCCCCCTGCCACGCCCCCACCAGCGCCTAAAGAGGAGGTCGCTAAGCCACCGACTGCCGCAGAAAAACCACAGTCGAATGGCAACACCACCGAAGGGGTTAAGGCTGCGGCTTCAGAGCCAGTAACTGTTGGCAAAAAAGAAGAGCAGGCTGAAGGCAAGCCGAAATCCAATACTAACTCCGCTGCCACTCCCACTCCCACTCCCACTCCCATATCCACTCCCCCACCCACCGCCCATTCAGCCACAGAGCCCAAAAAACCGACAACCGCAGCCCCACAGCAGCCAAGCCCTCCATCAACCCAAACGCCCCGGGCCACGCCCACTCCCCAGCCAGGGCCACCGCAAAGGGAGCAGGAGACGAGGCGCTCCTTCACACTCCTGCCCTCCGATTCGGCGGACGATGACCCAGCTTCGCACCCGAATCCGCACCAGAATCCGAATCCGAATCCAAGTACTGATGCCCCAGCCTCAGCTTCCGATGAGCCAGCCACTGAGCGGAAATCGAGCTTCCAAGTGCTGAAAAGCGACGACTCCCTGGACGAGAACTCAAAGAGACCAGGACGCAAGGTGGACTACGAGGTCGGTAATCAAGTCTTTCAGGTGGTGGGCGAAGGAGGAGGTCCGGCGGCCCAGTTGCCCAGTGCCTCGGAGTTGGAGCGGATGGATGGCTATGAGTACGAGGAGTACGATGACGAATACGATGATGAGGACAGGAATAGCATCGATCCGGAGCATGATAGTGCCCTGCGTCGTTTTCTCAGCAGCGGAAATCGACATGGAGTGGGTAGTTCTGCAGCGGGAGCAGGAGCAGGAGCAGGAGCAGGAGCAGGAGCAGCAGGATCCATTGCAGATGACGCATCCGAGGGCATGGGCAATGGCCGGAAGCGACGCCTCAAAAAGCGCGTGCGCAGCGGCAACAAAACACGCAGCAATTGGAAAAACAGCCAGGAGTCGCGCGATGGCGGCAACATGTCGGCCCTGGCCACCACCAAGGACCAGGACTCGGGCTTCGAGCCCAGTCCGCGGGCGGAGCGCAGCAAGATACCCACCCTGCGTTCCGCCCACACCGCCCACATGCCGCGGCGGCCCATCTACGCCACCCTGGATGGGCGCTCCTGCAGCAGCCGGATGGAGAACCGCAAGCCCGGCGACAAGGGAGCCTGCGACATGGGCGCCGTTACCCGCTCCATACAGCGCAACATCCGGAGGTGAGTTGATATTTTGGGTGAATTCTTGAATAAATTATTTAAGCCTTTTGCTGGCAGCTAAACAATACAAATAGATAGATTATTGAGTTATTGCTGAAACAATGCAAATAGATGTCTTTTTGAGTTAATGAGATGTTTTTCCTCTGATTGAGAAAAGCCAGAAATAAAAACTATGGAGTATAACCAATTTCTCAAAAGAATAAGTTAATACCACAAAAGGATCAAAATATTAATTATGTGGCTTAAAAATAAGGACTTTCCGCTCCTTAAAATAATTAAATAATGCAAACTTTATTCTTTAATTATAATAAGTTTTAGAATATTTTTCTGAGTTGTATTCCTATTTTTACAAAAAAACACTATTTAAATTAATAGATTATTCTTTTCAGTTTGCCTTTAGGAAGATGACTGTTTTGACATAGCTTGCTGGCAATACCAAAACAATACCCTTTACTTCAAAAAAATTTATGAAAATAATATAGATTTAAAGTTCCTTTTAAGCAAGTTTTCTGCTTACTTAAATACTAGATTTTTGCACTCCTGAAATTATTGAAAGATATTTGTTTTTGAAGAACTTATAAGCATGGAAATGCAAATTAGCGCCGTTAATAAATATGAACTTTAATTGCGATTTTTCCCCTGTGCACAAGGCAGCGGGCCAGATTGTCCTTGATTGCAGGGAGTTCGAGCCCCGGAGAGTTGATGGCGAGATTCATTCATTTAAATTAATCTCCAGGCAGTTAGTGGCGCCGGCGTCACTGCCTTTTTGGCCGTAGATTTATTTACTTGATGCTTGATTTTAATCAACTTGAATGTCGTCCCACTGCCCAACTGGCATTATATCACGCGCGCACTTCGGCGTCGCAGCAGTTGTGGCTGCGGCGGCCTCTTAATGTAATCAAACAGGACGAAGCCGCTCAGCCCGTCGCCTTAAAGTTAATTTAGCCGGGGATTTAATAGCCCGGTCGGCATTGCGCATATCTTTTCCTTTTTTGTCTTTTTTTTTTTGGCAGGTTAAAGGCAATAAACAGCGGCATTAATGTCCATTTTCCATGTATCTGAGCGTGAACTATGAAATGTTAAGCTTGCTGTGGCTTAACTGAGAGCAGAGCAGGTGGGAGTGGTGGTATTGGTGACAGGTGCTTAATGCTCTACCTTTTCTACTTCTTATTTCTCCTGTTAATTACCCCAAAGTAAATGTCGTTCTTGGCCAGCCAAGGCGTAAATCATAATTAGGTCAAGTCCAAGGCCCTAATATCCTGGGTGATTTATTCGAGTGCCTCGAATGGCTCAAATCTCGTCTGTCATTAGCCGAAATGCTCATTTCCGGCAAAGAGTTGCGCATTTTAATTAGGTGCACAGAGCCAAGCTTTTGCGGGGAAAGTGATGGAGAAAGTGGGCGGTGAAGGTAAGCCCACCTGCGGTGCGATGTTTTGTTTATGCAGAAACTTGAACAAAATATGAAAATTAGCCGCAAGCAGAGATTCGCAGTCGCACTCGCACTCGCAGCGAAGCAAAGTCTTTGGCTCCGTTTACAACTCGCTAATGCTAATTGTAAATGGAATTAGTGCAGATTAGCGAAAGCATTTTTAGAGGTCCTTGAAGGCATGACAGCAGGCCGTACGATTACCATTTGTGTTCGCTCGTTGTTTTGCCGGCTTGTTGCGGAAATCCTTTTGTGCTCAGGGATTTCCTTGCAAAATTGCCTCCACCCCGGGAAACTCACACTAGAAAACTCCGCGTGTGAGCCTAATTTAATTTTGTCATTCCTTGCTGGTGCGCGATCCATCAGATCAATGCTGAAATCTGTTGCTGAAAACTTTAGAGTCAATTGTATTTGTTTGTGGTATTTGCATAAGCCGGCCCGCAAAACTTAATTAAAAAGCGTAAGCTGATTTTTATTAATTTTGCTAATCTGCCTTGTAGCCCATGAATAAATTTGCAAACATTCACCGAGAAAGAAAAACATAACAAAACAATAACAGAACGGAACGAAACGAAACGAAAGGAATACAGAGGCGGAATCCGGCCGGCGAGCGCATTTCATAAATAATTCTTTCCACTTGACTAATGAAAATATTTAACTCGGCTGTTTGCATAAGCCGGAGCGGCATTGGGATTGGGAATGGAAATGGGAATGGGAATGGCAAAAAGAAGAGACAAGGCAAGACTGCGCCATGTTAAGGTTTCGACAAATACGCGGCGTATACGCAATGTACGCAAAACCGAAAGTCAAACAAGTGTCTTGCTCAGCAACTTTCCGAACAAGTTCCTCAACAAGTCAGCGGTGTGGGAGTCAATTAATTCCCGACGAATATACGTTGGGATGGCGAAAATCCGAATAGAATTTACTCGCTGTTCGGGGCGGACTAAAAAGAAAGTAAAGAAAGTAAGGAAAAAAGTGAATCCATAGCTCCCAGTCGAATACTTTGCGGAGGTCGACCAGGAAAATACCATGAAAAGTGTGTAAATAGAGACTTTATTTTATTTCGTATTTTTCATTTTATTTTTGCATTCGCATGCTTTCACACGGACTCAGGGGCGGCAACTTTATTTTGTTTCCTCGTTTTGGCTCCGAAGAGATTAAAATTTTATCTGATGCATAAATTAAACAAATAACTTACCGTCGTTGTGAGCGATTTTGTGTGTGTGTGTGTTGTGTGTGTCCCAGCACAGGTGAGATTTGGGATTTATAATGTGCGCTCACGTAATTGACGTTGTTAAATATTTGGATTTCGTTTTTCGGCCCCAGTCCGACCCTATCTTTATCTGTTGTCCTTGGGCCTGATTTTTGTATTTTTTTTTTTGGGGAGAGCGTGTCGGAATTAGGCATATTTGTTGACCGACTTTAAGTTGCTGATACCAGGTACCAGACTAGTAGTAGTTCTATTAGAATATTCATTAAAATTGAAGCGATTATTTTAATCCCTAGCCAACCAGCGACTTTAAACTTGGTTTTCTTGGATTTTCCATCCAGCTAACCACTTGGCGAACTTTGAAGCATGGGCTCAGAAATGTAGCCCTAATGAAAAATGAACGGGAAAAGTTTTGTGGGAGCCGCAGACTTTTCGCGAACTCCGAGTGTGCGAATTTGTCAACACTTTTGGCGGCCATCGATTTTATATATAACATAGTTTCTATGCAGGTATGCAGGCCACGTCTTTCAGTTCCAGCCATTAACACACTTGGCAAAAGGTTCTGGCAGCGCCTTTGTTGTTGCGCTTCTGCGGCACAAATTGCCGGCGGGCGGGAATCGTCCTCGTCGTTGTTGCAACTTGTGCAGCGCTTAATTTCTTTGCATTTTGTTGTCGCGCTGTCAGCGCCTGGGAAAAGTGAGAGCTATGCCTATGCTGGTGCTGATGCTGGTGCTGACTTTGCCGCCGGCGGGTTTTCCACTTCATCCACTTTGGCGCTGCGTGCACTTTTTGCCTGTCACATTTGTGTCGCAAACAGGAAGAGTTGGGTGGATGGTTGGGCGGCTGATGGTTGGGCGGTTGTCACTCAGTGAGTGGGTCGTCCGGTCGGTGGGACAGTTGGTTGCTGCAAGCACTGGCAGTGGAAAAATGTGCCACACAAAATCAACGCGCACAAGAAAATGAAATGAAAGTTGTACTAGGCGGAAACGGAAATCAGTAGCAGCGGCATCAGCATCAGCAGCCGTAGCAGTAGCACAAGAGTGGCAAAAAAAAATTTATGCCAAGGACAGTATTGCGAAAAAGTATTTGCACAAAGCGAAAGACTTGCAAAGAACTCAAGCGCATCCGAACGGAGCCAAAAGCGAGGCGTAAAATTGAAAAGCGCTTCGGCAAACAAGTGCCATGGCGATGGCGATGACGATGGTAATGGAATGATGATGGCCAGGATAAGAAGCGCTGGGATGATGATAAAGACGGTGATGAAGATGACCACTGGCGGGGCAACTGGCGACTGTGGCAGCCAAACAACCGGAAGAGCGATGGAAGACCGCTTTGAAGTCGCGCTGCGGGATTTCTTCGCGGCCCTTGGCCAATTTATTGCGCAGCTTTTGGCTCACAAGCACTCTTACCTATTTATTACCTGGCTCTCTCTCTCTGGTGGGATGCCCCCATCCAATCCCCCAATCCCTCAATCCATCCATCCAACGAGCAATGAACTTTTGTTTCAAAGTCAAATTGTTTTGCATAATTTCGCGCTGCGCAGCCAAGTGGCGAGCAGTGTCAAGCCGCCTCCTTTCCTCACAGCTGGCGCTGGGTAAACAATTTTCGAAAACGCCGCTCAGCAGCCAGCTTTTTGCGCACCAAGTGCCCTCGACAAATTTGCTTAGTTTTTTCGGTGAATGCGCTTCTCTGGCGGAAGGCCAAAGGCTTGGACGCCAGTTGATTTAGAAGAGTCGCTGGCCCGAAGCTGAGTTTAAGGGAGCAACTTTTAAAGCGCCGGATCTCGCTGTTTGTCTAATTTTTAATAAAATTTCTAATAACATTTTATGGCGCCGTTGGTGGCTTTAATTTGACTCGCTTCGTTTAAGCTCGCTTCTCATCCTCAATTACTAATATAATTTTTTCCGCGTACGCATTTGAGTATTTTTGAAATTTTAATAACACGATGCCTTTTATTGCGCTCCAGCTGAAGTGCTGGCGAGCAGTAGAAGAAGGTCCTTTGTCAGCAGCCCGGCAGGCGGCCCTTCCTTTGTTTGACTCGCCAAATATCAAAATGACATTTTACGTAGATATGCTAACATTTATTTTGCCAGACCCTGATTCTGATGATGGGTACAATGGGAAGCGGGCACAAAGAGCTCAGACTGCGCTTTTCTCAGAAGCTTTGTTTATGGCTTCCCATTTTCTCCGTCCGCAGATATTACATGGAGCGCAAGATCTTCCAGCATCTGCTGGAGCTCAAGTCACTGCAGATTCGTTCCAGCAAGTTGAACGAGGCGGTGCTGGTGAAGCGGGCCGTGGACGACTACCACAAGTCCTGTGTCCTTTTGGGCGGCGAAACGGGCACGCGGCTGAGGCGCTACAACTTCAGCGAGTACACGTTCAAGAACTTCGAGCTCTTCCTCTACGAAACGCTGAAGGGACTGCAGCGACCGGGCACCAACAACTTCCAGAACATCAACGAGGTGTACGAGGAGGTGGGAGATGATTAAGATTAAGTGCCGCAGCATCCGACTTGCTCATCCAATCATTTCCCTACTTTCAGGCGGAGCGGCGCCTGAGCCCGGACTACAATGCCTACGAGAAGGCGCTGCAGTGCACCACCAAGACACACCGCTGCCTTCATGCTGCCCACGCCTACACGGGAATCCCCTGCGCCGCTTACAGTAAGTAATTCAATTTACGGTGGTACAGCAAGTAATTTTTTTCAAATATTAAAAAAATTCATAAACAATGGAGCCACTTAAATATCATCCCATATGTAATTTTGTTGAGTTTTTTTTTAAGTTTATGATTTCAAGTGTTGCAACCGTATACAAATTTAAGGTTCATCTCTGTAACTTTGAAGGAAATAATTCGATTTTTAAATATTAAAGAACACCCAACAACACCTTCATTGCAAATTTTTGTACTCCCTTATAAACTAATTAAAAACACTAGTTATTTTTGTAGCATTTAGCATATTTAGTTGCTCAAACGTTAAAATATGATAGCTTATATTTTAGTAAAAATATTTTATTTATATACGTCAAAAGTAGAAGCCATTCTATCCTGATTTTTTTTATTATTTATTTTCAACCATGTTTTCCAATGGAGGATTAGTTGTAAATGCGGTATTAAATAAAACTTATTTGAACAAAAGCCCAGATTTGATGGACATTTGAAAAAAGACAAAAATAAATTTTATTATACATTTGTGGAACATAATCGGCTTGTTGCACACTAGAAAAAAAACATTGAATTAACAGCTTTAGAACCGATGCAAAAATAAAAACCAATTTTTTTAAACTTTTTTCTGTGTAGCGAGCCTTGCTGGCCCGATTGCTAGAGGGCTTTAAGCGGCTCCGTGCAAGCGTGAAAAATGGCACCAGACAGGATTTGGCCGGGCTAAAGAATCAAATCGCCTGGGCCACGGCTTGGCAACACTTTCGCCGGCAAAGTCGGCAGTGGGTCAAGCGTGGGACGGAGCGGACACCACGGACACGACGGACACGACGGACACTCGAATTCAAAGCATCTGCCCAGCAGCTGGAGGGCATAAAAATATAAATCCTAATTACGAGCAGTTTATTCAGTGCGGGGCAAATTAAAATTATTCTCGACCCGGCTTTCTGGCTTTCCACTTTTATTACATCTTCATTGGCCCGTTTTTCTGCGAGAGCTGGAGATGGAGAAGTAGATGGCGCCTCAAAGCGATGCGTCCGGCTTATGCCAAATTAAAAACGCATTCATTTGTGCGCTTCCATCCACTTGCCCTTGTTTAAGCACAGCTATTTCGCTGAAAGTAGAAAGTAATCCCAGCCGAAATGGCTCTTAGCTCGACTACTCCATTTCCTTACTATTTGTTTTTGTCCATGCAATTTAACTGAGTGTCGCTTTGGTCCTGCAGGACACCTGTCAGGTCGTGGAAATGCATTGGAGTGCCCAGCGATCATCTGGCCAATCATTAATCTAATGTGTGTCAACCGTTTCTTTTTTGCATTGCAGTTCCCATGATGAATCACCACACGATGCCGAAGTTCGGCTTTGGCGCGTACAAGAAAACCGGCAGTGTCAGCAGCTTCTTCCTGCCCAAGATCCTGACCAGCGGTCGCGCCTCCAGCGGACGGGCAGGCGGTACGGGCGGCAGTGCGAGCGGCAACCGCTGCAACCACAAGGTGGCACTGGAGTTGTCGCACGGCAAGAACAAACAGCTTATTTCACTGCCCGCGGAAAAGTTGGACAGCAATAAACGATATTACGTGACGTTCACAGTTAAGGACTCGCCGGGGCCATCGGCGTACCAGCAGAAGTGTGGCAATGCCGCTGGCGATCCGGGCTGTAAGTAGAGCGCGGCGTATACGTAATGTGGCATACAGTCCGTATACGCCCTGGCCATTGCCATCGGGCCATCGTCACGGGATCCTGACACAGCCGCCGACCTGCGCCCGCATCCTCGCTCTGCTTTTTGCTGTTTGTGCTGCTTCTGCTCCTGCTGCTGCTGCTGCTCCAAATGCATTAAAACAATGCCATCGCAACATTTTCTCTCGCTGCTGCTGTTTTTGCAATTGTTGTGGCCACCCGTTGTCCGCGTTGCCTTTTTTTCCATTTGCTTCCTGTCCTGATGCTGGAGTAAATGGCGGTTTATGCAGGGTGCCTAGCAGACGTATGCACTTCACCTACACGGTTGGCAAAATTCAATTTATTACTCACAACAAAATTGCTGGTCACTTGGCTTCTTTTATTTCATTAACTAAAGTTCAAAAAACAAATATTGGATATTGGATTTAAAGATGTTTAAATTGCAAAATCTGCAAAATCTTTTGCAAAAATGGTCCTTGGAAAAAAGCAATAAGTTCTATAACCAATATTTGACAAACGTATTTTAATTTTAAAACTTAGTTTTTCAATTCAAAAATTTACATCTTATAACTGAGTTTTCAAATAAAAACATACATATTTTGCATTTAAAAAAATATTATATTATTTGATTTTAAAATTGCTGCTTCTGAGCCACACAGTATTTTAAGTTAAAGCGTTTGTATTTTGGTGAGTTTCCTCAAAGTGAGTTTATTGCCCCAGGGCTAGGGTATTTCAAAGTCGACTTCGTACCCCTTGGCTCTGCTGTTGTTTCTGCTGCACTTTAAGATGGCCAACTGCTGATAATGGATGATGGCTCTGCTCTGCGGCTGTCAGTTGAAGTTGTCACGCTGGCAGCGATGCAGGCAGCAGCAGCAGCAGCAGGAGCAGAAACTGCTAAGGCAACGGCAGCTTAAATTATGTGTTCCTCCAACCCCGAGCAGTTGTTCACCGCTCAGTGTTCAGTTGTTCAGTTGTTCAGCTCCGCACTGTGTTGTTCGCCTGTTTCGTATTCTTTTTTGCCGTCTATTTGTTTGGTTGTTTGTTTGTCCGTTGGCGCTGCCGCTGCGCTTTTATTTCAGTTTTTCATTATCATTTTTTGTCGCAGTCGCTGGGTTTCGTCGGGTTGGGCTGGCTGCTTGGCATGCTCCTAATGCCGCAGATAAGCGTTGTTATTAACGCTCGGCTTACCAGGACTAGGGGACAGGCGTGAGGACATGCCGCCCATCGTCGCTTTTGTCCATGGATAAAAGGAGAAGGAGAATGGGGAGCAGCAGGAGCAGGAGCAAAAGCAACAGCAGAAGCTAAAGCAGATTCAGGTTCAGAATCAGAATCAGAATCAGCGAATGAATAAATGTAAAATATGTACCGTGCATTTCTTTGGCATTTCAACATTTTTACTTTATTTGCAATTTTATTTACTTGTCTGCTCGTTCGCGCCCCTATCCCCCCGCTGCCCCTTTTCCCTTTCATACCATCCCATTCAAGCCGTTGTTTGTTTGTTTGCTTACTTCGCACTGAGTGCATTGTAAATGGAGAATAATTGCATTGCATACAAAAAGCGTCGCGATTTTTAAATTGTATAAGCGAGCAGCAGCGGCAGGAGCAGCAGTACTGCAACAGCAACAGAAGCAGCAGCAGGATACACACAGCATCCGCCGTAAAATGATTTCTTTAAATATCAACTTATAAGAGCCGGAGTGCATAATAAATTCAGCATTTTAAGAGTTCTCGTTCCGCGTAGACCTAAGGCAGCTGTTGCAAAATAAACGTTGAAAATGTCTAAATTGAAGTATGCATTTCGCACACACGAAAAACGGGAACACACACACACACAGTCACACGTGGCTGTATTCAAAACAATGGAACCACTCCCACTCACCCACACACACACACTCACGCACACACATCGTTTCCGCCCACATGTCCTTGGCATAGATGCGAAAAGCGGGCTGATTGCTCGCTTCGCAGGCGCCGGTATCATTATTTTAGCATCTGCTGAAACGACGACTGCTGACAAAAGGAACAGGCTGGCAAAAAGGAAAACATTTTTACGGCATTCTCGGCATTTTGGAAGCCACCTCGCAACCCTATACCCATACGCATCCTCCTCCTCCTTCACATCGTTTTTGGAGCTGTGGAGCTGTGCCGCGACGATGGTATTCTTATGTCTGCCAAGAATGTCAGATGTGGAGAAGTGGTTTTCTCAGCTGCAGCTGTCAGCCAATAATCACCGGGCTCAATCGTAGCCCTTATGAGTTTCGCCAGGGCAACCATTCGGCCATCCGACTGCTAATTGAATTCGAAACTGGCCTTTTCAGTGGCCATTTTCCGTTTCCTAGACATTCAGCCATAAGCTGTGGGACAAGTAATTTACAAGAGAAACGGTTAAAATAGGCCTTTGAAAAATATTAGAATTTATTGCATTACGTTTACCTTATCAGTTTTATTTAAAAACGATAGTTTTTCAAAAGAAAAATAATACTTTTACTTTTTTTCAAGAGAAAAATAATACTTTTAGTAATACTTAATACTTAAATAAAATTAAAAGGTTTTTAAAGTGTCTTTTAATGAAAAGAAAAATAGGCACTATAAATCACCCAAATCTTGAGCCAGCCAAGAATTTTAAATACTAAATTGCACTGTTAAAATTTCTTAGTTCAATTTTGTAAATGTCTACCAAGTAAGTTAACTTTGGTAACCTGATTAGCTTTTTACTGTGGACTTTAATAATAAAATGGCATTGGATATCTTAATAATTAATGGTGTCACTTAGCCAGCTTGTAATAAAAAGTGAAGTTCATGAGCAAGTTATCTAAAAAACGATAAAACAATCCATGATTTAGAGCTCCTCTTAATTTATCATCTGTATATATTGATAATATCTAAAGTGACAGTCACAGATGCAAGATTTTAACCTTTGAAAAAAGCCCAATTTGGTCGAATAATGGCCAAAGGAGAAACGCTGTTTGGAGGCATTAATATTTCAAGTGTGACGGGGTATTTTGAATGGCCCAGGACTCGGACGTTTAATTTATTTAAGCCCGCTCCGGAAGGAGTCACTCTCTGTCGGAGAAGGAGTAGGAGCAGGAGCGACGGGCACTCCAGCAGAATCATCAGAACCATTGCCAGAAGTGGGACAACTGAACCTGGACCCTGGATTCCATTTCGATTTGAGCACTTGGCAGGAAATCTTCGGATTTATGTGGCTTTATTTTCAGTCCGGGTGCTGCAAAGTGCGTTTGGGCGGTATAAACGGAAAAGGAAACAGGAGAGCTCGAGGTTGGAACTTAAAATTCCTGGCAATTGCCCGGGAAGCTGCAACGAGAGCGCTGGCCAGCAAATGAAAACGCTATAAAATTGACAACAACAGCAGTGGCGAAGGTAAGTTGGAAAGTAGAGTGAAAAGTAAATCCGCACGTGCCAACCGAAATTACAGGGGATACTTCAGCAGGGGGCTTGCAGAGGCGAGACCACAATGCAGATTCCGGGCAGCATTTCGAAATTAAGCTTCGGCTTGGCCAGGTCTTGGCATTCATAAGGCAAATTCGGAAGGGTGTTCTTCCACTACCAATCGATTCCCTTAATTCAACTTGTGTGGTCCGAGAGTCAAGTTGGTACGGTAAAAACTGGGCAACCAATTACGAAAAGGGTCTTTCGTTGCCAAGCAAACTGGTTCTGGAACATATGGCTTAAAACTTACATTTTGAAAACATACTTAAATACTTAAACTAGAAGTTAATGAATATTAATACCATTTGAGCTGGGTGTTGGATTACCAATCGATTTTCCTACTCACTTTGAATGGCCCAGAATCCAAGTTAGTGCAACAAATTACGACAAACAGACTAGCATTCGCCGAAAGTTTCCCTGGAAACTTTACCTTCTTGGGAGTTGGCGTTGGTCCACGCTCAGCAAATTTCCCACCAACTGTTTTAATCTGCTGTGCATGCCAGGGCCGACACCGCCCTCCGATGCTGACGCCTCCCAAAAGCTTTACAGCCTTAATTCGAATCCACGTCTTTTGGGCGGAGAGCTCGTGTTTGGCTTTGGGGCAATGGCAAAGGCATCAATGGCAAGGGGAAAAACGGAGCAGGAGGAGCATGAGGAGCATGAGGAGCATGAGGAGTGGGTGAAGGCTCCTTGTGCAAAGTAATGAAGGCGGTATCCATTGACCGACCGCCTTGCCGATGTTTCGATTACGCGCCTCAAGTGGCAATCAGGCTGCAGACGGGGATGCTGCACCGCAGGATTTGCTCCGCATTAATAACACTTAGCCACAGGACGAAGTTGGGCTAAATGGGATTCGACCAGGTCGCGGCATTAATCCACGCTTTGATGTCCGAATCGCCCGCGTAATTGGAAATGATTTGAACAGGGCTTGGGCGTTGCTCTCGTTTGGTTTCTTTTGAATCTTGTTTATTTATTCAGTATTCGGTATTATTATTATTATTATTAACACACTCAGTAGTTTCGACTTAGTTTTTAATGTATTTCACTTTAAAGTTTTCTTTTCTCGTTCGTTTTTAAATTTAATTTATTTATTAATCTAAGTTTGCTTAAAAACAATCAGTTTGGTTTTGTCCAGAGTGACAGAGACAGAGAACGACAGGCGGGGGAAAGACGGATGTTTTGCCCCCGGTGTTGCCATGTAGATGTATCTATATATTTATTTATATATATAATTTCAATTTATTTTATTACGCATACGCACAGTATATTTTGCTAGTCTGCCATTTCACTTTATGTTTGTATATTTGAAATTAGAATTCGAATTACATTGGAGTATTGTGTAAACTGTATGGCGTACTATTATTATTATTATTATTTTTAGGTCGTACTTTTGCTCGGTTACTTTAGTTATTTATAACATGTACACTGAATTTGCTTTTATTGTTTGTGTTGTATCTGACTTTGGGTCTAATGCTCTCAGAGTGTCAGAGTGGAACTTTTGTGGGCTCTGACCCACTCGACATTTATTCATTATGCACTCGAACATCGCCCACTTGGCTGGTGTTTGTTTTTGGTTGTTTTTCATCTTCGCCTTCAGTTCGGCTTATTGTGGTAATAGAATATTCATGGAATTGCCATAAATAGCTACTGAAACTGCCAGATATTTGATCGAAAGAGAAGGCCCAGAGGAATTGGGAACTGTTTAAAAGGTTTTCATTTACCAAACAGCAACAGGATACGGCTTTAACTGCTTATGAATCCTATATCGCTATGCAGACATAAATGGATGTATTGGCTCATTGCCTAGATACTTGCACACATCCGAAGCAGACACCTGGTGAAAACTCTGATGTTGGCTCCATGAGTCTAATTACACTTTCAATACACACGGCTTACTTGGCTACAGGCTTACCGGTTAGTTGTTCTTTAATTACAATTAATATTTAACATTTAAATGCAGTTTGATTAATGTTTGCCCGTTCTCTATGTACAGTCGATGGTGCAACAGCAAAATGAGTGTTTGGTGTGTAAGTGAGTGTGTATGCTATTTACAGGTTTTATATTTTGATTTCAGTTACAAGTTTGTAGCGTATTTATAGCGCAGCTTCTGGGGTTCTATGTTTTCTTTTTGATTTTGACTCCGCAATTCGCAGTTCGCGTGACACTTAATGGCTGACAATTACAAAATGGCTTATCCCTATCTGCTTGCCTGTCCTCTTACACGTACGAAATACGATTTACCTTTTATGCTAATGCATTTAAATTTATGCTAAAAATGTACAGCTATGTTTAATGAAATGCCCGTGAATTATGAGGCCTCACCGCGCGTGAGTGTTTGTCTGCTTGCGTTTGCGTTTGCTCACTATGGTAGATATTTATTATTACTTTTTACAATTACTTCAGCGTTGGATCCAGAGTCGTAAATTCCAATTCGCCGCGCGGCAATATCAGATCCGGGTCTGCAATATACACTTTGGTTGGTTGGTATAAAACAAAATCAACAACAATGGCATATGTGGATATGTGTTTGGGTGATTGTGTGTAAGTGTGTTTTGGGTGAGACATAAATTCATGTGAGAGTGAGTAATGGGCGTGTGTGGGTGTTCGGGAATAGAGAAACAAAGGCAAAATGTTTATACCGATTAGTTTGGCTTGTTTGGTTTGTTGCTATTGCTTTTCAGATTCACAACACTTGCAAAATGACATCATATTACACATAGAGTTGCAAATTATTATTTGAGCGGCGAAAAGAAAAGAGAACCATTAGCAAAATACGTAGCGAAAGCGTGACCAACTGTGCGCTGATAACAAAGCAAATAGCATCTAATAAAACAGCAATATGAACAGCACAACAACGAATTGAAACTGAAACACAAACTGAAAAACGGAAACAAAACAAAAACAGAAACAAAAACGGAAACAGAAACAGAAAAATCAACATCAACATCAACAACATTTAACGGAGCAGCATTTCAATATTAATATTCACTTTACTTTACTGGCCACGCTCCCCATTCGCCCTTCCGCTCGTAAACGTACAATAATTCAACAATTTCTTAATTTTTATGGCACATTTCGCAGGAATTTATGTGCGAGTCGGTCGGTTTTATTGTGGTCCGACTTATTGTGTCGCCTGGCTACAAGTGAATCTTGAGCGTCATCTAGCGCTTGTTGTTTACGATTTTGCAGTTTGTTATTTGACGTGGCACGGGCACCCGGCCCGAGCACCCTGTGATATTTTATTATTATCGTCTTTTATGTCACATTTGTGTGGCGTCTTTGAGCCATAAAGACGCACAAACTAAGGCAACTCTCTAGTGCGTCTATGTGTGTGTTCGTTGTATTTGGTGTGTTCGGGAGGTTGTGGCCTTTCACGTTTACTTTCACGCCATGCCTGACAGCATTAAAAAATGTCAAAAGTCGCAAAAATGTTGCCAGCCTGGTTGGCCCAACAGAAAGCAAAAAAGACCCCTAAAGGGAATGGTGCCAAAGGGGGTTGCGCAGGGGCGGAAACGGAAGTGCGGCGACAAATGAATGAACAGCGTTGACATTGAGCATTCAGAAGAGCGTGTGCGTCTGTGCACAGAGAAAAAATTAGGGAGTGATTAAAATTTTCAAAGATTTTTAAATCATTTTTTTTGAAAAATCTTTCGGCAACACTTTTAAAAGTCATTCATTTTTGAATAACAATTTTTTGTGGAAAGGCATACTATTATTTTTATCTGAACAATATTTTGATTGTAGTTTTAAAAGGATCAATTTCAATTGTTGTTTCAAAGCATTGTTTTTACCAATAAAAGTATTGGTCAACTTTTGTATCGTAGTCCAAATAAATGTTCTGTTTTTACTTTCTGTAAAAATCTGTTTAATTTTGAATTCTTGGAAGTAAATCTGTTTGTATAGACAAATCAAGGAAGCTAAAAAATTTCCTGGAAATGTTGGTCTAAAAACCAAGGGATTCCACAAAATGTCTACATTTCTTTAGAGCTCAGAAATGCACCCACTTCACAGCCTTCTCTTTGGTCGGCTAAAATCCTCTTAAAAATCGAGGGTCCTGCAGAGGGGCTTACCGAGCTTGTATTCACTTGCCATTTGGCTGAAAGCAATTTTCCACTGTGTAAGTCTTCGAATGCCGCATAAACATTGTTGCTCAAGCAAATTTTGCGGCATTTTTTGTGGCATGACAGAGACATCAAAGTAAGAGCATGGAGCAGATACATACATGTGCTTTAAGGAGTCTTTAAGATAATGCCACCGTGCCATATAGCCGTATAGCCACAGCAAATGGCGCCGTGTGCTCATTTCGAGTGGCTGCTGTGTGGCTCGGTCTCAACTTTGTCTAATTAGACGAGTGCCGCTGGAGTGCACATGGAACCTACAACCTACCATCTACCATCCAGCACCTACAACCCACTCGCATTACTTACAATCCAAATACTCACACAAAAAGGACGAAGGACGAAGGCCACACAAACGTGGCTCAGACATTCGCGACTCTTGACTCGCGTACACATACCATAAGCACACACACACACACATACAGTCACAAACAGCAAGACAAACAGCAACAATGAGGCAAAAGAGATGCTGGGCAGAATGAATGGAGCAGCATGAAATGAAACAAATGTGCACAAAAAAGCAGTTCCTCACCATCCTTCCATCGCCCAAACTACTACGAGTATATACGCAGATGACTGTGGGCTAAAAAAAGTCAAACGAATTTGACTGCTCAAGGGGGTTTGCCCTTTGGTTGCCTCGGTCCCTCGGTCCCGGTGCCACCTGTACGGTGGAGCACGCGAGCGAGAACGGCATATGCAATTAAAAATGCTGGCTAATGACAGCAACTGCCGAGATGTAAAGATGCGAATGGGTGTCTTTTCCTGGCCGTGAGTATGTATGCACGCACATACAGTGGCCCACTTGTTTGCCTTGAGTTACGGCGCTGAAAGCGTTTTGCTCTTTCCAGGACCTTTTTATTTCAATTTGACATCGCTGTGTAAATGTGGGGACTATGAATTTCTAGGCAGCAGCCAAGGGAAATGTATTATCCTAAATTGACACTGTTTAGTTTAGTTTAAACCGTTCGAAATAAGTATTATTCATTAATTATTATCATTATGAATAATAATTGATTGTTGACTAATTTGAATCTGGCAACGAAAAACTATAATTAAAAGTCCACAATATTTAGACAATTGAAATCATTAAGCCAGGAAAAACCAATAGCATTCATAATTTTAAAGCAAGTATGTGGCTTATTAAAAATAATATTGTTAAATGTTTTCTTATTCCCAATGAACCTAACCTAATTTATTGAAAGCTTCAAATGTTTAGTTCATTATTTATATCGGCCAACGAATTTGGACTAAAAGTATTGTATTTATTATTATTATTTTTAAATTTCTTGTGACATGATTAGGTCTTCATGAAATGCTCGATATGGCTTAATAGTTTCTCTGCCAAATCAGAGTGCGATTGAATAGCTTAAGCTGCCTTGCAGCTCAGTGTAATCCCAGCCAAGACAGTTCCCAAACTGTCTGTTTTTAGTTGGCGTCTTGGCGCACCAGCTACAACATTTCTGGACCGCTCCTCTGGCGTACTTCGGCCCGACTTTGGCACTTGTTAGTGTCTTGTAAGCCAGTTGACTTGGTTTACGTTCTGCCGGGTGAAAGGGCAGCACTGGGGCGGGAATTTGCGAATGTGATGGAGTGTGGGTGTGTTCGTCGTGTCATGTCAGCCGAACAGCCCCCCAGCGCACATAAATTAAACAGGCTGCCGAGGGGTAGTGCAAAAAAAAATATATATATATATTTACGAGCAAAAGGATGGGCTGAGAGTAATGAAAATATAAAATAAAATCGCTGACAAAATCAAATTTAGCTAATTTGTGACATTTGAACTCACGCATCGGGGGCCAAAAGCAACAGAATGATGGAGAGAGGAAAAGAGAGACAGTTGGCAATAATATCACGTATACGACACATCTGCCCATTAAATAATATTTGCATTTGCCAGCATGTCGGCACGTCAGACGCAGGCAGTGAAGCTCTGTGGTGTTTGTGTGCCTTTGTGCTTATTTTTGTGTTTTAATTTAGTGCTTCCGAAATAATTAAAATTTATGCAATTCAAAGTTAAAACAAAGTCTGCCTGAGCTCGCACAGCAAACAGAGGGCGAGTCGTCATGGGGCATGAGAGGGTTGAGGCAGCAAAATATTTTGCAAATTTGTTGCTGTCTAAGGCATGTTTACGCCCCTAGTACATATGTTTGTTTGCTGCGCTCTGAAATTTATGCGAAACAGCCCAAAAAGACTTATCACTGCACTGGGTGACTCAAAAGCGGCTGCTAAGCGGCATGGAGAATACATGGTTGGAGAGAAATAAACAGAAATGTCAACAAAAAGCAAAGGCTGAGCAAACAGCCCCATCCCCACCAGACTTCCCCATTGTCTAGGCGATGTGCGGCTTTTATCCTTTTTAAAAACAATATTTGCCTGCACTCAACGATGCGCTTGTTTAATGTGTATATAGCCTTGATTTGCGAAGTGAATGGCTGGCAAAAAACTCATGTACTTCAATTAGCTTTGATTTGATATCTGTGTCTGTGAATCCTATCTGCCGGCTTTGCTGCATTAAAACCGAGTTAGCAAATTCGTCAGAGGAAATGCCACAAATAAAAGGATATTTCTGGATATTTTTGCGGCATTTGCATGGCAACAAAGCCAAGCCAAAACAATTACGAATGCACAAAGGGAATAAAGGAAATCAGATGATAGACATGTGAATGCAGGGATGTGGCAACGTAACAAGCAAAAGTAAATTGGGATGCCAAATGGACGACAAATTAAAATGTGAAATGGAGCAAGACTGTGGCAATGTTCTTGGGTGGGGCATATTAAAAATACTTGCGAGGGATCTCCCCTCCACTGCCAAATGCCAAATGACAAATTCGACAGAGAACTCAGCTTAGACATGACTGCCCATCTGCTGCAGTTGCAACTGCAGCTGTTCCTGCTTCAACTTCTGAACGAGCATCTGTGTCTGTTGCTGTTGCTGTTTCGGATTTTGGTTCAGTTGTTGGCTCTGCAGCTGCACAGATTTAGTTACATAAAATTTACTTTGCATACATTGGGGCGGCCAGGCAGTGTTTCGGCTCGCAGGTCCGGGACAACTCAGTTTCTCCCTGTGGGGCATGGCCAGGACCACGCTCGAGACGGTCGTATTTGTGCTGCAAGGCTGGCTGGACGAGGTCACGAGCAGGGGCAGCAGCACGTCGCCTGGGTGGATGGATACAACGGGAACAGTTAGGAGGGCTCGGCCAGGACAACTCGCAGGGACAACTCGGCGGATGGACCCGCACTCGGTTACGTGTGGGGCACTACATTGCTTTAAATACTGGGCAAGGTATTTACAACCTCAAGTCGAGGATTAAGACAGTTGAAGTAGAGTGTTTTGCTACCTACAGAGATATTCGGAGTGTCGGAGTACAGAGTCAGAGTCGTAGAGAAAGACAGAGTGGTGGAGAGGGGGTAGATAGCTATGGCTAGGTCAGGCGGGAACTTGGTGGGTTGTGGGCTACTTCGAGTGCCCGGCTAATTAGAAATATCGTCCAAATAGAGACACTTCAACTAATCGCTTCATTCGAAACCAAATCGATTCAACGCAAATGTAACGAAATTAAATACTTTGATCTGCGCTAATTGGAAAAGTGTACTCGTATGTCATAAGCTACTTTTGTGAATGCTAAATGGGGGGCAATTAGTTATTCATTTACATGGGTTCGAACTCAATAGTTCGCAACCAATTCGGTGTTCAACCGCATCATTAGCGCGAACTCAAGCCAACCTAATTGTTTAACATGTGGGCGTTGATCTCCTCCGCTTCAGCCACACAAGCTACTCACATGCCAGTTCAAGTACTTAATTAAAAATTAATTTTTGCGCAATTGGGAAACCATGAAAACAATGAGTATGCAAGACTAACTTTCAGAAATAAATTCGTGTTTGTGCATTCCAAAACGCTTTGATAATTTATTCGTTTGGCATTCTGACTAAACAAGATGAAGTTAAACTCTAATCTACGTAATGACTACAAATTAACAGTGTGTGTGTGTGTGTGCATGAGGTGTATATTATATACGTATGTACAGGCAAGTGCATACTATTTACATAAGGCTATAAATTCAATTGGGCAAATCAATCAGCTAAAGCTAAGGATACGAATACAAATACAAAATAATATCGAGAGCGCACTCGAGTCGCAACTCAAAAGTCCTTGAGCAAACCAAATGGGGATGCAAACTACATGGTAAATTGATGACTACTTCACTAGATATAACTACGACTACGACTACAGCTTGTTGAGTATAGATTTTGGAATAGTACCGTTTAGGCTGGGCTGCGCATACTGGATGAAGCTCTCGGAGATGTAGTGATGGGGTCCGGCCACGCCCACAATGGCCCCGCCACTCGACCCCACCCCCGGCATGCCCCCTCCTCCGCAGTGGTGGGCGTTGGGCGGGGCCACGCGCGCCCTAATCTCCGCCGCTCGACCGCCGCCCTCCTCCAGCTCGTTGAGTTCGTCCTCCTCGATGTACATGCTCGGTACATCGTTTCTCGCCGGCCTGAAACGAAGGCAAAAAAAAGGGAAAAACACAGACATTGAAAATAGTCATCACATTCCATTAAAAAGTTCAGGGGCTAATAGTTCCCAAGGTGCGGCCGCTCGTTTGGTAGAGTATAAAATAGCAGCTTAGCAAACTGGTCAAACTGAGCCAGCTGCCGGCTCTCAGGCGACTCAAATTTCAATACAAACAGCAACATTCACAACCCCGCAATTACCTGAGGGAGCGACTCTGCCAACTTTTCACCGGAGGGGAGGGTAGGTGGTAAACCAGAAAATAAAATAAATTCAAACAGTTGCCGGTGCACATGGCGGATGCGCAATATTCGATTTGAGCACCTTTTCAAAGTGGATTTAATGCGTTTTCGCCAGCAACACTGCAACTAAATGATAAATATTGGCAATAATATTACCATTTCTCTCGAGGACCCTCGAATTTAAAATCAGCCATCTCAATGGTTCATTCTAAATTAAATATAAGCCGATTGCCGCCGGGAGCGCTAATTACACCGCACTCCATCTGTGTCCCTCTTATCAGACTCGTTACTGGTCTCGTGCACATCAAATATTTGCACTAATACTTTGCCGCAAGAGGCAAATCATTTAAATTTATGCATAGACGCACATGCGATCGAACTGAATGGGAGGTGCACACAGGTGCGCCAGATTTTATTTATGCAGGAAAACGATGCCACCAAGGCATGGAGCGCGTTTGACAGTTGTGATGACCACTTAATGACCCGCATGCCGTTCGCTTTGATGTGCCCGCGACTATTTTCGGCAACTATAATTAATATTTCGTTGGATTCAGCTTTGAAGTGGTTGCCCGAATTCATTATTGAGCAATCAGCGTGGGCAGCGCACGACCCGAATCAGGGAAAAAGGCCATCCCATCTAGGGGTGTGACCTGTACTGTGTCGAGACGGACGTGCACCGCGTCGATTCAAAGGGGCTGCACTGTGTGTTTATCTTTAATTAGCCAGCGGGCAGAGGGTACAGCAGCTCAGCAGCTGCTTAATTACCCACCAACGGCACACGGACGCGACCCTTTTGGCAGGACACGGCGCTGATTTCCTATCTTAAATGGAAACTTGTGCGGCTGCGGCTGCGACTGCCCCGTTTCCGGACCTCGTTTACGGCCATTCTTTTCCGTTGGACTTGCGACCCCGTTAGGCTGGCGGGCTCGTCGTCAGGTGCAGGTTTAATTAATTTAATTACAGACTAAGCCTAATTTACTGGGCAGGTGCGTGCTCGGCTCTAATCGATTGGCGGCCTCAAACTGTTTAGGCGATCGCCTTAATGAACCCGCCCCAGATTGCCCTTTCGACCTTTCGCCATTTTGCCGGCGAGGTGAGTTTAAAATAGGACCCTGGCCCTTGCTGGCCATTGATTGAGCGGCCATTTCTCTGCGGCTGTCATTTAATTACTTTCTGCGTAATAAGCATAAGTGAGGAATGCGCAAGAAAGTATGCTATGCCACTACTCCCACGCGGCTCTTCTCCATCATCCTCGACTGTCAGTCACGTGCCCCACATAAATAATATCGTAATTATTTCTGCACACACAGACACACATGCCGGCGGCAGCAAACAATTTCATTATTAGTTTTCCCACCAACCGGAGGATAAGACTCACCGCATGCTCTTGCGCACCTCCTGCGGCTCAGGTGGTCGCGGCCGGTGCCGGCACACCACGACGATGCCGGCTACGATAATTGACGTCACCACGACGGCGCCTATCACCACGACGGCGGCGAGTATCAGCAGCGTCGACTGCTTCTCCGGTCCGCTGCCCGTGCTGGCGCCGGTGCCCAGTCCGCTGGAGCTGCCGCTCCCGCCCACGCCGCCGCCCCCATGATGCGTTGTTTCTGCGGGCGTTGGGTCCTCGGACAGAATGGATTCATCTGAAAAAAGAGAAAGGCGATACCATGAAAACACTAAAGGAAGAAAAAGGGCCAGCAAATATTCAATGAACAGTGTGGTAATACAAGTAGAAGAACTTTTTGAGTAGCTATGCTAAAACTTAAGCAAAACAAGAAAGAAAGCAAACTTCGGCAAGCCGAAGTTCATATACCCTTGCAGCTATTGCAAGAATTAAACATTTTTGAAAACATTAAAATTATGATTTACTTTCGTATATGTTTAAAAACATTGAAGCTATGATGATTTGCAGCTCAATTATTTGATAGTTATTTTATATATTTTTATTATTTCTAAGGGAGCTATATGATATAGTCGTCCGATTTTGATAAAATTTAAACCATAATTCTGAAATATTTAACCATCACTAAATGTCGAAGAACTAAACAAAAAATTAAAAAACAGAAAAGTTATAATTTTTTTTCATTTATTTTTCCGATTGTTCCTATGGGAGCTATATGATATAGTCGTCCGACTTTGATGAAATTTAAACCGTAAATCGGAAATATGTAACCATTACTAAATGTCGAAGAACTAAACAAAAAATTAAAAAACAGCAAAGTTATAATTTTTTTCATTTATTTTTCCGATTGTTCCTATGGGAGCTATATGCTATAGTCGTCCGATTTTGATGAAATTTAAACCGTAAATCGGAAATATTTAACCATTACTAAATGTCGAAGAACTAAACAAAAAATTAAAAAACAGCAAAGTTATAATTTTTTTTCATTTATTTTTCCGATTGTTCCTATGGGAGCTATATGCTATAGTCGTCCGATCCGGCTCGTTCCGACTTATATACTACCTGCAATAGAAAGACAACTTTTGGGAAAGTTTCATGCAGATAGCTTTAAAACTGAGAGACTAGTTTGCATATAAACGGACGGACAGACGGACAGACGGACGGACAGACGGACGGACAGACGGACATGGCTAGATCGACTCGCCTAGTGATGCTGATCAAGAATATATATACTTTATAGGGTCGGAGATGTCTCCTTCACTGCGTTGCAAACTTCTGACTGAAATTATAATACCCTCTGCAAGGGTATAAAAATAAAGGTTTAAAGAAGGTACATAAAAAAAATGAAACTTAAAAAGCATCGTTTTACAGAACCAATGAAATCAGCTCTTAAACGTACACTTCTCCCATCTTTCACAGAACATTAGAAAAAGTTTCCTAATATTAAAAAAAACAAGAAAGAAAGCAAACTTCGGCAAGCCGAAGTTCATATACCCTTGCAGCTATCGCAAGAATTAAATATTTTTGAAAACATTAAAATTATGATTTACTTGCGTATATGTTTAAAAACATTGAAGCTATGACGATTTGCAGCTTAATTATTTGATTGTTCTTTTATATATTTTTATTATTTGTATGGGAGCTATATGATATAGTCGTCCGATTTTGATGAAATTTAAACCATAATTCTGAAATATTTAACCATTGCTATATGTCGAAGAACTAAACAAAAAATTAAAAAACAGCAAAGTTATAATTTTTTTTCAATTATTTTTCCGATTGTTCCTATGGGAGCTATATGCTATAGTCGTCCGATTTTGATGAAATTTAAACCATAATTCTGAATTATTTAACCATTGCTATATGTCGAAGAACTAAACAAAAAATTAAAAAACAGCAAAGTTATAATTTTTTTTCAATTATTTTTCCGATTGTTCCTATGGGAGCTATATGCTATAGTCGTCCGATCCGGCTCGTTCCGACTTATATACTACCTGCAATAGAAAGACAACTTTTGGGAAAGTTTCATGCAGATAGCTTTAAAACTGAGAGACTAGTTTGCATATAAACGGACGGACAGACGGACAGACGGACAGACGGACAGACGGACGGACAGACGGACGGACAGACGGACATGGCTAGATCGACTCTACTAGTGATGCTGATCAAGAATATATATACTTTATAGGGTCGGAAACGTCTCCTTCACTGCGTTGCAAACTTCTGACTGAAATTATAATACCCTCTGCAAGGGTATAAATATTGCAGCAAAAATATAGCAATTAAATAAATTGTATTTGAATTGTTAACTGATTTTGAAAGAAAATATCAAATACAATATATTCAGATTTATGTTTTTAGTTAATATAAGTCTAATTTTTAAAGAAGTTTAAGAATTATGCGTAGAGTTTGTTCTAGTGGAAAATTGTAGTTTAGTTCTTTCTTATATGCAAAAAAAAAAGTTATAGTTGATGGTTTTGTATTCCCATTTCCCGCAGTGCATGAGCATGTGACGTAGGTGGAGCTCCAGATAGTTTCAGGGGTTCTAGCAATGATTTGTTATTTGCTCGGAATTAGTTTGATGCTGCTGCTGATTTCTGTTTGCCTCCCCGCGCTGCCGTTTATTTATTTATTTGTTTTGCTGCGCCGTGTTCTTTTGCCTAACTGATTGCTTTTGACTGTTTGCTTATTGTGTTTTTCTTGGCCCCTTGGGACCGGGAAATCGGGCTGAAAATTGAAATTAGCCAGGAAATCGCAGGGTGCTGTGTCATAGGAGGAGATCTGCGGGCATGATAAATAGTGCCTAGCTGGCGAGGGGAAATTATGAGAATCAAAGAGCAAAAGCCCCACCTTTGGCCACTTATTACCAGCGATTAGACCTGATGCCACTTGCCGCAAAGCTTTGGCAATTATGAGCAACATGTGAAGGGCATTGTTTATATTTATTAGATTTCCAGCTACCGGAAATTGCAACATAATGTGTGAGCCGAGCCCGAGGCCAAGGGTAAAATTATTGTAAGATGATCCCCGTCCAAGATTTATGCCAGACATTCGTTAAAGCCAGCTCCCCCTTAATTTTCTCGATTTTGTTGGCAGGCAAGCATTTCCGCTCCATTTGCGGGCCGTCAAAGCAGCGGCCTCGGAATTGAAACATTGCCAACACCGGTCCATTCCACTGGCTTTTTTCCTGGTCTTAAGGTCCTGGTCCTGGTCCTTGGTTTTGAAGAGAGCGTTTGAGTGGAAATTGCCTACACCTGCGGCTCAATTTAATTTTTGTTGCCGCCTGCCTTTATTGCCTGGTCTTTTGGACTGGATCGGCATCAGCAGCAGCAGCAGACTCAGCTTCTGATGCCAAGGCTCACGGCATCTCCGTCATCTCGGCTCAGTCTGTTTTTTAATCAGTTTGCCTTTGCCTTACATTGTTTTCCTTATTTATTCGCCTTTGATGCTTTTTTTCCAGCTCAAGTGGCCACTTTGCCTGATATTTTTCACGTTATGCCTTCGCCCTCGGATTGTAATAAATTCTGCTGATGAGTTCTGCGTAAACTGATTTAAATCAGCGTCGGCTGATTTGCCTTCGTTTTATTTATTTCTTTGAATCTGGTTAGCAGCAACGGCAACGGTTTGGCGACGACCTAAGGCTTAATTTATGGGCCCACACATGGGAGCGAAAATAAAAATCTGCGTGGGCTAGGCAGCTGTTAAAATTCCGCATAAATTAGTAGGGAGAGCCTGCTTCCAAACCAAAAATGTGGCTCTCCACCGGAGTCCATTGTCTCGACCGAATTTACGATTTTGGCAAAAAAAAAAAGCGAGTCGTCTGCGGCAGCCTATTAACATACATAAGTAACTGGGGAGAGGCCGAGGTGCAGATTTCGGGCAGCTGTTGTTTCATGTAAATAAGTTTGGCCGTCGAATTGACTGCTGCCTAATCGAACATTTGCGTATCAAATGCAATTAGTGCCATTAAGTCGGGGGCAATATGAGTGATTTATGGCTAACTGGGCGAGCGAAGCACACGAAAAACGAAATGAAAATGGCCAAGGCGGTAAATGGAAGTGGAAATGGTAATGGAAATGCAGATAAAAATAAAAATCAGCATGAAAATAATGACAACATTGTTCTTGTAGTTGTGTGCCAGAGAGCCGAGAATGGCAAAGGAACAATAAAAGAAAAGTGTCTACGGTGGCCGTTAAGCAAAACGAAAATTGAAGCAATTCCGCTTACGCTTGGCCCCCACACACACACACGGATACACTTTCTCCACATGTACACACACACGCACACAATGGCAGGCAGTCGCATTATGTCGTTAGGCAGGAGCAAAATGAAGAGGCTGTTGCGGCACGCCCCTGCGTATACGTAATATGCGTGAGCCCCACTCAAAGAATTGATGGAAAATGCTGAAATGCTTTCCGCTCCACTGCATAGCTCAGTCAGTGGATTAGAAAAGGGCGTCTCGTCCTCGGGGTGGAACCTCCGAACTAGAGGCAGTTTGGTTTGCCTTTCCTTTCCTTTCCCAGGACTTTTCCATTTTTCTAAGAGTGTGTGTGTGTGTGTGTGTGACGCCATGTGCGAACTTTTCGCGGCGGCTGATTGAAGACGATTTCCCCGAACTTGCGTTGATTTGAAAATGCAGTCAAGCGTTGAATTAGACAGTTCCGTCCTCAGCTGTTCGGTCTGGTGTTCCAGTTTCAGACTCTGGGTGCTCTATTGGCCCGGGAAAAAAGTGACCCACAAACTAGTAACTCGGGTGGCCATAACTTGCGTACTTTATGTGATTAGCAGGAGAGTCAGGACTGGGGCCTTTTTTTTGAGTTTGCCCAGTTGCCTTCCAACTGTCAAGTATCTAGGTATTTTTTTTTTTTGTTTTTGGGCACAGAATAGGATCGGGTTGAGCTACTCACCATATGGTCCCAGTTGGGCGGCCACGCGTACATTCTCAATCACCACCGGCGGCTCGCTGCGTCCTTTGGCGTTGACGGCGTAAACTAAAAATTGATATTCACGTCCCGGCTCTAAATTATTCAAACGAAACTGTGGACTGTTCTCCTGCATGCGAAAGATGGGTGCAGATGTCGCCTGGAATTATACACATTTATGTTATATATTTGGCTGATTTGGGATGCGAGCATGACAACGGGCGCATTTATAATTCACTCGCCATACGCTGCCAAGTAAGCCATGTATTTTTAACTTTTCCGAGGTCCCGTCGCAGACCCAACGCATAAATAATTATTCATGCCTAAAAAATACGTAGGCACAACTGTACAGGATACGTAGGCGACAGCGAAACAGAAACAGAAACAGCAACCGAAACAGAAACAGGACAGTGTCTGAAAATTTTGAACTGAATATCCGTTTGCCGTAATGGGACACAATCGAGTGAGCTTCGTTGGTTACGCACAAATTCCCACTCAAGTAAGCGTAAGTAATTTATGTTGTCCTTGCGGCACTTTTCCACAAAAACCCCACCCATTCCCTCTTTTTGTGTGCGAATGTGTGTCCTCTATCTAGCATGAAACTTTAAAGCAGCCAGCCAACGGACCAACGAGTGGGTCAGAGCCCGGAGATGATATCCTGGAGTCCCAGCCATCACCACCATCATGATCATCACCATCACCATCATCATCGTCATCATTTCATTTTCATTTTCATGACCACCCTCGTGATGAGCTTTGCGCTTGGCTACTTTGCTAATAAACTTGCCCGGCAAGCGCTTCATCAGGGCTGTTGAAAGCAGCCAAACGAAATGAAATGAAATTTTCATATGATATTCCCATCTAGGAGTGACAGAGATAATTTAATAACTCAGCATGCACTCCCCGAGTGCCGGACAAAGGGTAGCCGTTCCTCCATGTGGGGAATTGGAATAAGGCATTAATTATGTTGTCCCTTTTCCGCTTGAGTTGCGGCAAAAAAGCAGCAGAAGCCAGCCCCTCAAAATATTTATTAGTAATTCAAGCAGAAAAGTCAAAGGACATGCACACTAGATAATTGACCATATGGATTTCAAGTGAATTATTGCCAAGTCTCTGCTCGACCCCGATGTTTCTGTTTCTGTTTCAGCTACAGCTACAGCTACTGACACATCTTCTGCAGCCATCCGATTTCTAGCTGCTGGCTGTCTACCGAGCCGTGAGTTAATTTTAATTTAATTGAGCAATTTGCGTTTTGCCTGCCCGAACTTATCAACTTAGGCTAACTCGATTTGGGAGCTGCAGCTCACTCACCTGATCGTTGAGCGTGGATATCTCGTTGTCGCCCAGGCCAATGGCCTCGCCGAACTGCCCTCGTCCCTGTCCTTGTCCTTGTCCTGCCGATCCGCCCGGATCATTGGAGTAGAGCAGGTCGCCACCCACCACCTCCAGCATGAAGTATTGCGAGAGGCCGCCGTCACTGCCTGCCACACAGACCACCTCCAGGATGGTGTCGTTGCGCAATTCGCAGGCCTTCGGTGCCTCCGGAGTGTCTGCGAAAAGTGGTGCCCGGATAGCAGTTAGTCATAGTCTTAGACAAGCCATGGCTTAATGGCGACCCACCACCCCATTCGTAATTGCATTTAAAAGCAGCTTCTTTCGCCTTGAAGGAGTCGCCCGTTAATGAAGGAGTCGCCCCGTTAAAACAAAAATAAAGAGTTCGACTACGCCCTTAAAATTATTAAGTCAGCTTTGATTTTGCACCAAGGGTGAAGCGCACAAAATAGGGGGACAAAAATATTAGGAACCTTATGTTACTGCAAACTTTTTAAACTACATTTAAGATCTGAAAAAATTTAAACTTAAATAATTTGTTAAATTGAGGACTTGAACAACGTTATTAAGAAGAAATTTAAGTTAATTAATTTTACAAAATAATTCAAAACAAGTTCATCTTTAATATAATAGTCTTTATCATTTTTACTTCTTAAAGTAAAAAAAATCTTTAAAAAGTATTTTGTATGTGTGGCATTGCTCACCAAATTTTATACAGTTCCAAAACTAAAAAAAATCTTTTCCTGAGTGCCTGAACCACACCCCTAGTTTGCATTAATAACAAACGAATTTAGCCAGGTAGTGGAGCAACGACTGGCAGTTCAACCTGAGGATTATTTGGCAACATTTTGGCCAAGTACACCGGCACCGGTACTGTCACCCCGTCCTCTCCGTCCCGTTGGGCACACACTCGCCAATTATGTAAGTAGATCCTTATGTGTGCATAAGAGATGGAAGGGGGCCAACAACACCGACACCGGTGGCAGTACCGACACCAGTCCTGTTTAAATTGCGGCAAAGATGGAGGTAAGTGCCGGCATCTTGTGGCAACAACTTCCTCGACTCGACTTCCTCGACTTCCACTTACTTGCCGGCAGGATGTGCACCAGACAGGGCGCCGTTTGGCGACCCACCGCATTGCTGGCCCAGCAGGCCAGGGTTATTAGCTCGGAGTCCGTCTGCGGCAGATACGTCACCGTGCTGGCCAGCCCGTTCGATTGTATCCTCGAGTTGAGCACCTGAAATGTAGGAGTGACGGGGGATTAGAGTTCATTCATTGTGCGAACGTAGGCAGGATCAAGTGCAGTTCGAGTCGGAATCAAAGCAAGCCCAGGCAGCCAAACCAAACCCAAGAAAACCAAATCGAAAAGCAATCCCCAGCCGGGCCGAAAGCAAAGCGAATCGGGGCATAAATATTTGAAGGCAAATAAGTTTTTATTGCAAGGCAAACGAATCGGACTGGAGGCGACGGGATAAGTCATCCTGTGGCTCTACGGGTTTTCGTGCAGATTTTCAAATAACTTTTGCGGTAAATGAATTACTTTATTTATCGAGCCCAGCTGTCCCAGAGCCATCGAGTCACATATGCAAGTCTTTCGGTTCGTTTGGTCAGCCATCCGGTCCTGCTCCTAATATTTTTCCTCTACCATACTATCGATATATCTCTAATTTTTCCTGCCAGCTCTGCAGTTCTCTGCTTTGCCCCTAAACGGTTTGCATTTTAAATTCTGTTTGAACGTAGGTATCCGTTTGAACATATGTATGCCCCCACCAACTCGAATTTATACATTTTGATTAAATTTTAATTCAGTCACGTACGACGCTCGATAATCCGCTTCGACCATTGTTCGTCTGCTCTGAATTGTCGAACGAAAATCCCAGACAACCCTCGAGTATTTAGCACAAGTTCTGCTAATAGCACCCGACTTCGAACTTGGCTCCTTGCTGGCATCCCGAGTAATTGCGACAGTCGGGCCAAGCTCTGGGTTGCAGCACGTTTTCCGGCATAATTACAGACACAATAAGTTCGGTTTGGATTCCGTACAAGGAACCCGTACCTTTGCCCTAGTCCCAATGCACGGAGAAAATTGCTTTGCCCTTGATTTTTAGAAAATAAGATAAAATTTCTTTGCATACTTCATTAAGATATTTAAAGGAAAAATAATTTGTATTTAATACAAATTCTTTAATATTGTATATTGATTGAGTCTAAGAAAATGTTTTTTTTTTTAATTTGGGTACTCATTTGTTTAAATATCTATATATTTAAAGCTTACAGTTCCGAAACACCGGCCGTGTAGCTTATTTTTAGACATCTTTTCATTTCCGTGGGACGTATTCTTGTTTATTTAAAGCACCAGACCTTTTTGGACTCAAAATAACTATTTTTCCACAACGTTTTTAGATAATAACCAAAAATCTTACAAATAAACTTATTCTTAAAAATCATACTTTATTCATTATTAATTTATTCTTTTTGCTCTAAACACGTAATGTTTGTACTCAGACTTACCGGCGACACATTGCGGGTGTTGTTGTAGGTCCAACTGAATCGCACGGAGTCCGACGGATCGGCGTCCACCTCGCATTTGGCCAAAATGGACTGCAGATTGACGGCTCCGATGGAGGTTTGCTCGGTGCCCGATTTACAGCGCGGGGAGACTGCGAGGAGATGGAAATGGTGAGATGGAGAGGTTCATAAGTATACACGGCATCGAGTTGTTCGGCAGCAGAAAGTTTCCATTTTAAAATGGCTCAGCCGCCCCCTCGGAGAGCAAACAGACCGCCGCCCCTTCCCTGGGGGAAATGGGGCCCCCCAGCCCCCCTCGAAATATACACAAAAATATGAGGAAAGAAAGAGGATGGTGAGTCCAAAGGGAAGTCGAGCCAGCAACATAGCCTTGAGCGTAGTAATTAACATGTTTCCGTTTCACGAACGAGGGGGTTTTTGTGTACTTCGGGCCTTTCTTTTTGTTTTTTATTTTATGTGTAGCTTAGCGGGCAAATCTGTGTGCCAGGTATCGGAAGAAAAGCGAGTCAGTCGGCGCTTACTTTCACTTGGCTGTGAAATGAGAGCAGATATGGGGAAGCACTGCCTTTGCCCCGGGGAAAATGTGTCTGTCTGTGTGTTGGCAGTGTAGTAGTACCCCGGATTGTGTGCTGAAAGCCGCCTTTAAATGTAAGTCACGCCAAGGCAGATAAGCATTCAGAGCTTCATTACTACGTTCTTGGCTTTTATCACAAGTCAGCTGCATTTCAGCGTCGAATACTTAAGCCATCTGTCTGCGTCTGCGAACTTGTTGCTGGAACGCGGGAATGTGGGAGCGTGGGAGGGGAAAGTTACCTAAAGACTCTCGGGAAACTTTCATAATTTCAAATATAAACTACTTAAACTGTCGTACGACTCCCGAGAAGGGGTTGGCAGAAATGCATTTCAGATTGTCAAAGTGGCAGCCAAAGAAACGTAGCAGTTTTCCGGTTGGGCGTTGGTAACATGAATAGACGTCCTCCGTCTCGTAAGCTGACAACACAATAAATGCTGCCAACAAAGGGGCTACGCACCATCGCTCCCTACAATATCCCTGCTTCGGGCTTGTATGCCAATCCCAATGCCAGTGCCATGTGGGTACACGAACCCGGCCAAATAGTGTACTTAAGACCCACTCGTGTGGGTCTCTCTTTCTGAGGTTCCATCGATTGTGCAGCTCTCCCTCTGATTTATGCAACCAAATCGCTTGTGCGAGTAGTATATGAAATCCACATTAATCACAGCAAAAAATGGCCAAAGGGCAGGATGGCATGCCCTGAAGCTGAAGGGAGAAATCAGACCGTGAGGTTTATGAAAAGTTTTTGGCCGGAGCTTAAATTGCGAGTGCTGCTGGATTTATAGGCGAAAGTTTTGTCTGTGCGTGTGTATAAATCAATGGCGGTTGTTTAGGCCAGCGGCAGCACGAGTTTTACAATTTTACAATGTTACAATTGTAAACAAGCGGGCAACAAACGCCGACAGTTACAGATGGAGTTAGTGACGGTCATGCATCATTTCTAAGCAATTTCCCCATCCGCTGTTGCCCCAAAAAGTTGGCAACTTTTATTCCGGCAGCCATTGCTTGTTGATTTTGATTTTATTCTGCAGCTTCCGCTTCCGGTTTGCCATGTTAATTCATCACGTCGTCGTGAACCCACCACCTCCCCCCTCTTACATAGTTTGTATATTTTATTTCGCATTTCGCAAGTCGTACTTACACTGCACTTTCAGCGCGAGACTGGTGCTCCGAGTTTCGCCCTCCGTATTTGTGGCCCCGCAGGCATACGCCCCCGCACTTTCCCTCTCGAGCTGCGTCAAGTGCATTATTTCCGAGCTCTCGCCCGACATTCGCATGCCCTGAAATGTGAAGAAGGGGATATTATTGCGGCTCTGAATTGGTTGCGGGTAGGTTGTCGAGGTTGGGGAGCCGATGAAATCCATCCACTGAGAGGGCAAACTGTTTGAACCGTTCTAAACTGCGGTTTAACATAAACGTTAAGCTACAAGTAATACAGAAAGTATAAGCTTTTGAGTGTCGAAAAGCGATATAAGCTTTTCGAATTCCACTCAGAGTTTGTTGTTTTTTTTCGCATCTATCAACTGGTCCGCACATTTTTAGTATTTTATTTACGGACCACCTTTCTGACATTTAATAAAATTTGTAGTTCTATTTTCCTAATTGGATATCGGAATGCTAATATTATTTTGGTGTGTTTGCTATAAATTTAATTTCGAAGTCTTCCAATGTTTGAACAATTTTGTTATATTTTGGTGTTGAAAATGAAAACCAATTAAAAAAATTGATTGATTATTTATGATAAATGCTTTCGCCAGTATACAAATTAGAAAAAAATTAATTAGTTATCTGATTATTCATTATTTAAAGTTGACGCCACAGTTATAAATAGTTAAATGGTAAGCAAACAAAATAAATCAAATAGAGACAACTATGATTTGGAACTGATGTTGTGTTCAATGTTTAGCCATTTAATATTATTATTATGTGATGACTAATAATGGGGACTTTTCGACATTAGCTTTGGCATTAGCTTTGGCAAAGCTGTAGTTCATGAAGACGGAAGCACATATGCCCGAAAGTATTTTCCTATTGGCCTTAGACAGCACAAATTGCGGTGGTGCCGTCTGCATTGTCGAGTGACCACACGACCCACAACCACCATCACTAGCAGAACTAAATGGCAACCACAATAGAGCCAATGCTTTCCGCCCGTTTTTTTTGCTATTTGCCATTTTCCAAGCCGAGCGGCATTGCGGTTGCCGCCGCCTAATGCGCCTAATTTTAGTGGGCCGAATTATTATAAACGGATTTTATTAAATCAAATTAATGTGTTTTTCGGCAGTCGACATTAGACACTTGACAGCCGGAACTCCAACTCCTCATCGAATTAACCGACAAGTGACTCCACTCGGATGCAAATGCTCCATTAGCACGGCTTGACTCTGGGATAATTCGATTATGCATTTAGTAGCAAAATCCCGGCTGACATTTGCACATGCGTTTAATTAATTCATAATAATAACAATAATGCAATTTAGATAGCTTAAGTTTCTTCCATCGCCACCACCACGTATGTATCATTGACAGCTAATTTGCAGTTTTCCGACCAGCCTCGGTGGTCCCTCGGTGGAAATGAAAACACACGCGCGTTATAGATCCGCCGCAAATTGGCCAGGCTGCATCATTTGATTATTTGTAAAATTCATTAAAAAGCATGACTGCGTTGATGGAGAGCGGTAATTGCATTGGCCCTTGTTCAATAATGCATTTAACAATGCCGAGCTGTAAAGTTGGGGAGCCCACATTACTGTATTCGCAGGAAAGCTGCTTTAATTTCATTCCTCTGTGGAATTTAATTTACGGAGAAAACACTTTTAGCCGCCGGCTGAAAAGTTAATGTTGACCCAGTGCAAAAGTTTGCGACGAAATGGCAAAGAAAAGCGGAAAACAGTCTGAAAATAAAAATCTATATGGCAAACTGACGTCGAACAACTCGAGGAAGTGACAAAGTTGGCTCTTTAGAACTTTTTTGCCGCTCGTTTTTCATAATTCTTTGCCTCATTTTCTCGCTTTCCTATTAATGCCAGAACCAGAAAAAGGAGGACCGAAAATCAAAAATCAAAGTGCCCCAAATAAAGGGAAGTTTTCTCTGCCACTCCTCACCAAAATGATTTTCGCAATTTGTTAACTGCCCGGTCGAAAAAGAAAAGCGATGGGAAAATATGAGCTCGGGTTTATGGTTTTTGCTAGCTATGAAAAATGATGATGTGACCATGTGGACAAAACTGTCAAAGGATGTCAGAATCATGCGGTTTAATAATAAAACTCCGAGACAAAGTCACAGCCAGTCAACAATGGCTGCGTGGGCCAGCAGAAGTAGCCAAACTGGCCAGCAATCTCAATCTCTTTCGGTTTATTTGTCTCATGATTAATAGTTAAATAATTTGCAACACGAATGGACTTCAATGGACATTATGAGCCAATTATAAGACGTTTGAAAAATGAGCTGGGTGTTTGTTGGTCCGCACTCCTCGGCACTTCTTGACCACCATTATTCTCGCTCAGCAGGAATGCCAAGCGTTTTCGAAATTAAACCGCAAAAGTGTCTGCTTATGGGGGCCGCAGGAATGCCGACGCCTCCGGGGCCACCAACAATTGATAATAAAAATTGCGAAAAGTATCTGATACACGTCAGCTGTTTGGGTCGTTACAGCCGGGAACTTGGGAAATATGTAGCCAGTTTGTGGAAATGGATGATGGGATGGGGGAAGGTAGTGGAAAATCATTGGCCTCACTTACATTCTTGAACCAGGAGTAGCTGGTGACCGGCGGCCTGGCATCCGCCCGGCATTTGAAAGTGACATTCTGGCCCTCGGCCCGTGTCACCAGTCGACTGGGATCCTCGTTGGCCAAGTGCACCGATACCGTGGGCGGATCTGTAAGAGGCAGGCGAACAGAGTAAGTAAGAAAGTGCGGCATGCGGCTTAATGAGCGCAGCGAATTGCTGAATAAAAGTCAAAATAATAAACGGGGCTCCCGGTCAAGAGAGCATTGCGTAATGTACTTAGTCCCAGCTGCGGCGTTACATCCTTTGGCCTCCCGAGGCCTCGTCCTGCCCCCCACAACCTCTTGACCACACGCCAAATGGGACTATTAGTTACGGTTGTAAAAATCTAATACGCGTCCGAGACTGTCGGCGCCACTTGGCCCCAGTCAGTCTTTTATCCCCCATCAGATGTCCGTCGTCTCGTCCCCAAAGTGGGCACTGACCTATAGTGGCTTATTCTACGGCTGTACGGCAAATGTCAATGGCGTGGGCTGGCCGGCTGGCAGAAAAAATGCTGACGTTTATGGTGAATTATTAAAAGGCAACACAAAATGAAAAGCAGGCGAATCAAGTCGCCTGCCGACCTGATTTGAGTGCAGGTAATTCCGCTTTCTATAGTTTGATACACTCAAAAAGAAGGTTTACGTCTTGAATATGCTCGAATGACTTCAATGCACAATTATTTTTTTACCTAAATTACGAGCTTTTCCTTGAAAGCTATTTTTTTTTTTAAGTTTTGATTAATATTTAAAGAGGCTAATGATTAAATTAAGCTCAGCAACACGTATCCGGTTTTTCTGAGTGCACCCAGCCCAACTCTCTTTTATCCGGAAAAACTTTAACGAGAGCAGCGGAGGGAGTAATGTAAAGCGGAAGTCGGAAGCGGATGTTGCAAATATTATGGAGGCCGGCAAAAAATGAGCAATAGAAACATAACGGTGCAAATTTAATCAAGGCAAGTCGAAGAACACGACATTGAAGTCAACTTGACTGCATTTTATAAGCGGCTTAGCGAGAGGTGGCCAACAAGTAAACTTGGCTTGGTTCCGGCTTCGTCTTCGGCTCCTTTGGCCCTAATAAAATTACGTTAGCTCTGGCCTTAATATGCTTCTAATTGGACTTTCCTGCTCTTTCCAGCCATCACACACACACACACCCACATAGAGGCCACGGCCTGTGCAGTTTGTGTTAAGGATACACAAAAGCCTCTTCTGGCCATGGCTCGATGAATCCAGACCCAGACCCAGACCAAGACCCAAATACCCAACAGCCTTCAGTCCAGAGGCCGCATTTCTGCTAATAACAGGCTCCGAGCTCACCTGTCGCAAAGGAGGAATATATATGCTGTGTGAACTTACATGCCACCCGGATGATGCGCTTGTCCTCGATGGCGCCACCGGAAAACCAAGGATTCGTGGCCCGACACGTCAGCTCGGCATTATCGTTCTCCGATGTTACCTTCAGTGTCAGTATGCTCGTGGTGATATTGCCGTCCTGCGTGGAATAAATGGAAATTAAATGGTTAGTACTGTTAAAGTGGGGAAAATTTGCAAACTCTTGTAAATCTGAAGGCCCCACATAGATATATGTAATCACATTTTGGGTAATCTTTTTATTTCATGAATTCCTTATTAATTAAAGAAAACAGGAAACTTTTTAACAGCAAATCGGGGTGCTCCCTTGCTCTATCTTAGCTTATTAAAAACATTTTATATGAGCATTCTCTTTTATTAAAGTTAAGCCAAATGAAAGTGGCTATCTCAAATTTCATTTACAATTAGTCAGTTATAAGCTAGGACTACACTCCACACTATTAACAAGACTTCTCTCTAATAAGCTTAAAAGTTCACTCTGATTTGCTTAAGCTGTTGTGTTTATATTTAAACCATTCACTTTTTCCACTCAAAATGAGAGTATTTTGTGAAATGTGTACTTGCTATATATACTCGATTTGATAGACAGATCCTCGTTAGTTTAGTTTAGGGTATGTGCTGTGGCCACTCGAGTTGCATTCCCCACGAATGCACGGTCTTCGAAAATAATGACTCGTATTTCGGGCTAAGCCGATGTCCCAGTGCAGCCGTACACCCAGTCGGCCCTCCCTCGAACAGCCAATGTATGAATGGAGGAGTGGAGCTGCAGAGGATCAGAGAAGCTCATGGCAAGCCGGGTATTAAGTTACGACATCAGCCAGTTTCAGGACCAGGGCCGGGCCACGTTTTGGCAACAATCGAAGTCGATACTGGGAAACTTGCAAGCATCCTGCCATCCTGCCTCTCGTGTGTGTGGCAATCTGTCCCAGAGATCGAAGAGGACTCGGTTATGCACGAGTTGACTAATGCCTGGCGACGTTTGGCAGCAACTATCCATTTACATGGCATAATTAGAAAGCGAAAAAGCCAGTGCCACGAAAAGGAACTAATGGCTGGCCCAAAACTGAGACATGGAAGGCAGATGGATCTGATAAATGCCAGCTTGAGTGGAAGAATGGCTCCCATTTTTCTGGCAAATAGTTAGTTGTGGTCCGGCCCCATGAATTCCAATAAAAATTCGCACATTAGTCGAATCAATGGCCGGGGCCATGGAGTGCAAATTTGTGCAGCTTGGCCGAAACTTTTCGCCAGTGCAGTTCATCAAAGAGTCCGTGGCTGGCGGACAGTCAACTTGTCCGTTCTGATCCCTGCTCCCTGCTCAACGCTCCTTGTCGCCCTGTGGTTGCTCCAAAAGTTTGCCCTGCTCGCATTTGGGGTCACCCAGTGGTCGCCTAGGCTGCCTTTGTTGTTGCCCAACTGTGGAGCTATTAAGCGCCGCACAGTTTTATATGTATGTGTACAAGTGCCTGCTGCACTGCGGCCGGCTATCAAATGTCAAACGCTGAAAGCAAATTTTCCGGCACAAAGTTGCGTTGTCCTGGGATCGGCAACAAGAATGAAAACTTTCTCCTCCTTCAGTTTCCGCCATCCCCGCAATCCCCATGGCATGATGGCATCACCGCAAAATAGTCTGACAATTTCGGGTTATTTGGCAAGGACATGCACTCACCTCTTTGTCGCTGTGGACGGTGACCTCGGCATTCCGGATGGGCTCGCCATCGAGCAGCCAGGTGATCTTGGCCGCCGGGTACGAGCCCCAGGACTCGCAGCGAATAGGCACAGGATGCCCGGCGGTCAGCAGTTCGTTGGGCGTGGCGATCTTAACGCGAACAGGTTTTACTTAAAAAAGTAAAGGGAAAAAATTAGCATTGTAAGTTTAAAAGATTCTAATCGAACATAGTGTGATAATTGTAATAATAGTAGATACCTAGAGGATTCTTTAAAATTAACATAAACTATTTGTATGCAAATATAACAATTTGGAATTCAATTTTTTTATATTTAAAATTACTTTTCATATTTACAGCCAGCAATTGCTGGCATTTTTTTTATTTTTAAATAAAACAAGTTTACAACAAGTTAGAATTTCTATTGATATGACCCTGTGCTAATTAATAGTATCCCAAAAACAATAATAAAAGTTCATATGTAAGAGATTAATATAAAATATTTGTATGAATAACCCACAAATAGACTTAAATTTTCCGATAAAAGATTTAATAATAAACTAGATATTCTATTTATGCCACCTTTCAAAGTAAAAGCAACCCGCATTTATTTGTTTAATAAAAGCAATCCAAATGTGTATACATAGTTATCCTATGTTGGAAAGCGATAAAGGTAATTTAAACTTTTGGTCAACAAGATAACTAGACAACGACAGTTTTTGTGACTTTCAGTGAGTGAAAAACTCTTATTTTTATTTGCCGGTAGCTTGCGGAAATGTAATGTAATGAAATGTAAATATTTATTGGGGTGTGCACTCACAGTAAACCTGCACGGTGACATCCTTGCGAACGGGCTCCACGAGTCGCGTTCCCTGCGCCCGGCACTCGATGCGAACGCCATAGAAATCCCGCGTGGTGGTGCCAATCAGCAGCTGATTAACCATCATGGTGGCGCCCTCCTCCACGGAAGTGTGGCTGGTGCCGATTAGCTCGGTGTCGTCGCGCCACCAGGTCACCTTGGGCGGAGGACGGCCTGAAAAGGGGAAATGAGGTAGTCAGTAATGGCAGCTGCTCGCTTTCAGCCCAATGCGTGCCTGTCTCTGAGCCAAATGTGATGAGCAGGGACATGCTGGAGGATCCTTGCCAGTTGCAATTGACACTCCTGAGTGCGATGGTAAACAATGCGTCAGACTGCGGTTGCAATGACGTTGACAAACACAGTTGAACGCATGACAGCTAAGTGGGTCGAACCACCGCGTAAAGTGCGTTCAAGTGCACTGTTAAAAAGTTTGATATGCCGTATGGGTTCAACCACTATGACACGGTATCCACAATAGTTAGCTCAATAACAAAACCTATTTTTTTGCCAAGATAATTTAACAGAACAAAAACCTCATATTGATTGACACAAAATATGCTTTTGTGTTTCGATTTTATTAAGAACCAAATGTTTAACCTATGGTTTAACAGAATTAAAACCTCTTATTGATTGACACAAAATATGCTTTTGGGTTTCGATTTTAACAATAACCAAAATTTTTAATTTGAACATAAACAAATCTTTTTGCTACGGTTAGTCCGAAAAAATTCAATCGTTACGAGTAAAAAAATTGTTGTCAAAATATTATGAGATTATTTATTTAAGCTCAGTAAAACTACCATGGGCTATATAAAACCTATTTCTTTCTATGTTGCAATAATCCTTTTCATTTGTAATTTAAATCAGGTAACACTCACCTCCCCTCACTTGACAGCACAAGAAGAGCTCATAGCCCTCGCGGAAGGGTCCTGCCAACTGGGATATCTCCTTGCCCTGGGCATCGAAGATGCGCGGCTCCTCGGGAGGCACTGAAACGGATGCCAGATAAGGGTCAGTGCTTCCACGGGTCACCTCATGCAGTACTTACCAACTAAGGTCAGGTTGTGCCTGAAGTTGCGCGTCGGGGAGTTGAAGAAGTCGACGCGACATCGGTAGACACCGCCATCCTCGGGCTTCACATCGTTGATCTGCAGGCGCGAATCCTTGGGATTATCGCCGATGCTGAAGAACAGACGCTGCCCCAGATCGCTAGCTATGGCGGCATGGGGTGCCAGCTTCACGTTTCCGCCCCGCGAGTCCAGGCTGCCGAGGAAAAAAATTGAAGGAAGGAATAATATGAGTGAGGGGGCGTGGCAGCATGTAGCGATTATTAGATGTCATAAATAAACATATGCGAGGAGCATAAGTTGGCACGCCTCCCCCCCGCGCATAATTTAGGTGGATAAAAAATGACTCTCAATTTGCACACCATGAGCCAGGAGTTAAGTGTGGAGTGCTCCTGCGTTTGTCTGTGTGCAGGACCCCATATATTTTCCTCCTGCCTCGCGACTCAGCCAGCTTTGTGCAAATTGCAGCAATTTGTTGCTGTTTTAGTAAATTACTCTGTTTATTTCAGGACTCCGGGGTGGCTATCGCTATCGCTTTGAGTTCAGCTCCAGCTCCTGCTGCATTTTCTGCGCTTATGATTATCGAGTGCCGGCCACTTCACGTGCATGGCTGACACAGATCCCCAGCCCCCTTTTACCATCCATAAACCCCTTCTAATGAGTGTTCCCGAGTGTTGCGAGTGTTCAGAGTTTCCCGACTTTGCCGAGTTTGCCGGCTGCGGCACGCAAAGTCGGAAGGCATTTCCACTTGGCATGCAGGGCACACGCTGGCTGCCACAATTTATATTGAAAATTTATCAGCGCAAATTTATAAAAATGGCAACGGGTCCATCTGCGTGTGTGCGTGAAAATTTGCTACACTTTGGCAACGACAGCCGTAATCGGATGTGCTTTACATTTATTATAACAAAGTGGATTATGGCGGGCGCATCCTTGCCCCAAAAACTCCACACAAGTACACATGTGGCAGCTGCCGGAAATAAGCCAAAAGGGCTTGGCGAGCAAAAACACGTAAGGTGTACGTAACAGGGATGTTGACGATTATTTCACGCTCCTGATGGATGGGTAAATGGATGGATGGCTGTTTGGCCGTATGGCCGAATGGCTGTCTGTTGTGAGGTTCGCAGAGTGGACTATTATGCACCAGTGGCCTCGGGATGTGTGAAGTAGAAGAAGTAGTTTCGCTCACCTGTACAGCGGAATGCCCGTGGTGTCCTTGAACCAGAGCAGCAGCTTCACCGAATCCTGCGGCGTAGGCGGCGTCAAATCGCAGGGCAGCTCCACGGTTTTGCCCAAGGCGGCCCAAACCAAACGAGCGGGTACTGTGAGAAAAAGAAAGAAATAATATTATTTATGAGCACTGAGGTGAAAAACACTAACTGAATTTTGGGAACAAATCCTCCGAATTGCAAAAGAAAAAAGGGTATGCCATTAAAGTTCGAGCCCAAAAAGTTAATTAACGGCTCTAACTTTATAAAAAGTTTGTTTTTTAATTGGTTAAAAAATTCGTCTATTATATATTCTGAATTAGCCATCATAACTACATTAATATATAAAAAAGGAAAAATGCTAAAAAAAAACGGTATGAAATATTCAAATGCCAAACTAAATTTAATAATGCCTGTATTAATATAATGTCTCTGATGATTTTTTAAAAATTTTGATTGATCTACAAATCCAAGTATTAAAATCTATTTTTTCTACTATTTACAGACTTTATTTATATTTATACCCTTGCAGAGGGTATTATAATTTCAGTCAGAAGTTTGCAACGCAGTGAAGGAGACGTTTCCGACCCTATAAAGTATATATATTCTTGATCAGCATCACTAGTAGAGTCGATCTAGCCATGTCCGTCTGTCCGTCCGTCTGTCCGTCCGTCTGTCCGTCCGTCTGTCCGTCCGTCTGTCCGTCTGTCCGTCCGTTTATATGCAAACTAGTCTCTCAGTTTTAAAGCTATCTGCATGAAACTTTCCCAAAAGTTGTCTTTCTATTGCAGGTAGTATATAAGTCGGAACGAGCCGGATCGGACGACTATAGCATATAGCTCCCATAGGAACAATCGGAAAAATAATTGAAAAAAAATTATAACTTTGCTGTTTTTTAATTTGTTTTTTAGTTCTTCGACATATAGCAATGGTTAAATATTTCAGAATTATGGTTTAAATTTCATCAAAATCGGACGACTATAGCATATAGCTCCCATAGGAACAATCGGAAAAATAATTGAAAAAAAATTATAACTTTGCTGTTTTTTAATTTGTTTTTTAGTTCTTCGACATATAGCAATGGTTAAATATTTCAGAATTATGATTAAAATTTCATCAAAATTGGACGACTATAGCATATAGCTCCCATAAGAACAATCGGAAAAATAATTGAAAAAAAATTATAACTTTGCTGTTTTTTAATTTTTTTTTTAGTTCTTCGACATATAGCAATGGTTAAATATTTAAGAATTATGGTTTAAATTTCATCAAAATCGGACGACTATATCATATAGCTCCCATACAAATAATAAAAATATATAAAATAACAATCAAATAATTAAGTTGCAAATCGTCATAGCTTCAATGTTTTTAAACATATACGTAAGTAAATCATAATTTTAATGTTTTCAAAAATATTTAATTCTTGCGATAGCTGCAAGGGTATATGAACTTCGGCTTGCCGAAGTTTGCTTTCTTTCTTGTTTTATTGTATTTTTTTTCACAATTCTAAAATATTTATAAGAATAGTTTGTACCGTTCAAAAGAATTTAGCAAATATTATTATGTTGTGCGTCTCAATATTCCCAATTGAGTTTCAAAGCACAAAGGTTTGGGAGGGATTTCTTTTATTAGCAAGGTAAGAGAACTGTCGTCGGCAATCGAAGTTGATAAAAGAGCAATACCTTGCTATGGGATATATTTATTTATTATTTGCACTTCCTGCATGATTCGGCTGATTGTTTGTTATTTTAACACAAAGCTTCCGCTTGCCGTTCGCTCTCCAAAGGCCACGCCCACTGACAACCCACTGCCACCCACCGCTTACCCACTGCCTTATCCCGTTGTCATATTGCCATGCTTCGCTTCCGTTGCCGATTGTCGTCACCAGCGCCGTTTGCAGTGGCTGAGCTTGATGTTTCTTTTTTGGTCCTTGTTGGTTTCTGGCTCCCTGGCCTGTCCTCCTTTTCTCGCTTTGTTTCCATTTGACAAAAAAAATGATTTCTTGTGAATTTGTGTTGGGCCCATGTTTTGTGTTATTTTATTTGGCAGGGCAACCTGTAAAATTTCCACATTGTTTCCGCCCGAGCGGCTTCTTTTATTTTTGCCCCACCTGAACAATAATGCGGCTGTCGTTTCATTTCGAGGCCTCGTTATCTGGTTCCTTAAAGCAAAAGTGTGTTTAAAGAACTGCGTTTATTTGCAGCTTAAATTCCCAACTCGATCGGCAGAGCTTTTATGACTTCATTTTAAGCGACACCCAATATTCCATTTGCGAAATATTTTCATAAAAATTTTTTGCTATTGTTTTCGTTGCTCTTTGAAGCTGAAAAAGTTTTTAACGCGCGTAGATGGGATTAGAGAAAAAAAACCAAAATGAATGCAGCGATGGCGTGGAGAGCAGAAATATTAGCAAATTATTGAAATCCCACAGCGCAACACCAGCTTTTTTCTAAGCTGTGTTTTTCTGCCGCCCGCAAAAGCCAAAGAGTTGGCCATTTGTTAGACGGCGCACTCGCTGACAGCTTGAGCAAAACGGCAAACAGTGCTGCAATTTGTCAACGCTTTGGCTTGCGGCAGGCTGTGCAAATATGCGGCCAAGCGGGAAGACGGGAAGACGGGAAGACGGGAAGACGACACCTAGCCGTAAATCCTTATGAATGGCCCCGGATGTGCGAGGCCAAATGGCAGTGTCTAAGTCGAACGAACGCACACGCTTGTGGTTGCACAATCTCCCCAAGCGGAAGAAATCCGTGTTGCAGTCGACTCCCCCTGCACAGCCTTTTTCTGACCAATTAAGCACAGCACTGGGAGCACTTTTGATGTGCTCCCCCGAGTCCAGATCTATTTATAATTGCCTCTGGCATTTGCCCAGTTGTTAGCGGCAATCGCCTGCTCGTTCCCAATGATTTATGCTCACATTTAATTCTTCTATTGGCAGTTCGTCGACGAATTCGTCGTCTTTGATGTGAGCCCCAAGTTCCGAGTTCCAAGGCAAAGCAAACCAAAGCGAAACGCCACAGTTCTACCTGCAACCCTCCCTCGTTTTTGATGTTTTGTTTTGACACATCGCATTATTTGCGGCTATTTTTAGCCACATGTAATTTACTTAACCCAGAGGTGGAGGAACGAGGAAATTGGAATTTATGCTGCTTGAGGGCTTTTCTGGGTAGCTCATCATATGTGCATCGGTGCATTTGACAGGCTCTCAGCGTGGATCAATTAATTTCCATCGAATGTGCTGAGTGTTTATGGCTGTTTTATAATTCTAATTAAGACACTGCCCCGACATGGACTGTTTTCGAATGCGTTTTCGAATGCGTTTTCGAATGAAGTGAAAATAGGAAATGCATTTTGGGATGCATTGGGGGGTTTTATCCGAGCCCGGGTAACACACATAAAGTGGTTTCTATTTTATTCCACGGACTCACCATTTCCCTCAGGTCCTAAAGCTTTAAGTTTACTATGGAAAAATGGCGCATACGCAGCGTGTTACTTTGCATGCATAAACCAAGAGCAGCAGCCAGCAGCTTTTCGTGCGCCATTTGGCTAGGCCGTGAGCCAGCAAAAACCCTCGGTTTCCCTGCAAGGCCACAGCCCCAAGACATCGTTGCATTAATTATGCAGTGGCTAGAGGCCTCTGTGGCTGTTTAAGGCGAGAGCCTGTCCTTTAAAGATACCCGCCAACGGATAAATTTAATTGATTTTGTTGCGACTTTCGTTCAAAACAAATGTTGGCTGCACTCCAATAGTTTAATGAACTTTGGGCAAAATAAACCCATGACAAGCGGAAAGTGTTGAAAAAAGAATAATAGAAATTCAACAAAGCGTTGGCCAAAATAAACTAAGACTCACAGGCTGCCCATTAAGTGTGCCGTGTTATTGTAAACAGCAGCCGAACCAAAAAACAGTGGTTCTGTAACACATAAAAGAGAAAAAATCAAACAAAAAAGAAATGTGCATTTGGCAAACTTTCAATATCTACGCATTTTTGTGTTGGCCAAATGATTTTATTCAATTGATATTTAAAGCGTAAGCGAGTGGAATTCGGATCGGGCCATTGGGGTTGACAACATAGCACATTACACATTACGCATTACACATACGCACTGTATGCGCAGTGCGGTTTTGTTCTGCGGTTGCGGCTTTGTTTTCTTTGGTGGATGGCGCTGCGCTGCATAGGCGTGGTTAGCGTTTGATTGAAACGTTTGCCAAACGCACATAAAAGTCAATTACGCAAAATATAAGTTAGTTAATTAACTGAAATCAGAACGAGCTCAGCATAAATACGCGTGTGAGTCTGTGCTCCCGATTCTTAGCCCTTTTTGTGTGCGTGTTTGAGCTGCTTTCATGACTGCTAATGAAAAGTTTATTTAGAACGGTGGCAAGTCGGAACTAAACCAAATTACCGGCAATTGCCAAGATAAATATTTGAGTTTCACTATTCAGAGCGGCAGTAGCAGATGCTACACTGCGTCAGTTTGCCATGTGCCTTTTATACAGGAGAGTTAGGGGTCGGGAACAGAACGGAACGGAATAGAACGGAACTCTTCGATGCTGCTGGCTCTTAAATATTTTATTCAGACTCCGACCGGACTCTGCTTTTTCATTTCCTCATATCCCCTCTCCCTGCCACCTCCTCAACCTTATCCAGTCGACCTTACTTACTGGTTTTTATGCCACGGCTGCCTTTGCCGCGTTGGGCCAAATTGTTTACATTTAAATTGTACATACATTATGGCAAACATACACACACACACACACACACTGGCCGCAAAATGTAGCAAGTTGAGAGCGAAAGTGGTTGCCATTGCGGACGAGCCTGCTGCCCCTCCCTTTTGTTGCCCCGCCAGCTGTCGGGTCACGCCCCCCGTGCCACGCCCCTTTGTAGTGTAGTCAAAGTCGTCAGTGACCCTAATGTACTTTCTCACACTTTTTAGCATGCATTACGGGCTGCCTAACATGGTTGCCTTCATTCAGCGTGTGTGTGTGTGTGTGTGTAAATAACTTTTAAAGTGCTTCACTCACACACACACACACACTCTTTGTCTTTGGGCTGCTGGAAATGTGAGTATGAATATTTACTTATAATTAGAAATGCCAGAATGTTTTGT